GCAGAGAGCTGAACAAAGCCTCAGAGATTTACAGGAGCAGTGAGTAGTACACAGCCTAGACCCATAAACTATTTAGTGTTCATTTAAAATCATAGGATACAATGCGCCTGATACAGTGAAGCAAAATTCATAAGTAACCATGATTGGTTTCTAATCCCTTTCTAAAGTTAAAGAATTACATTTGAAAATAATATTAAATTAATAAAGAGGTTTATTTGAGACTATTTTGTATTTTTTAATTGTAATAATTCTATCTATCTATCTATCTATCTATCTATCTATCTATCTATCTATCTATCTATCTATCTATCTATCTATCTATCTATCTATCTATCTATCTATCTATCTATCTATCTATCTATCTATCTATTCATCCATCTATCTGCCTGCCCGCCCATCCATCCGTCTGTCTGTCTGTCTGTCTGTCTGTCTGTCTGTCTGTCTGTCTGTCTGTCTATCTATCCATCCATCCATCCATCCATCCATCCATCCATCCATCCATCCATCCATCCATCTGCCTGCCCGCCCATCCATCCATCTGTCAGTATATCTATCTATCTATCTATCTATCTATCTATCTATCTATCTATCTATCTATCTATCTATCTATCTATCTATCTATCTATCTATCTATCTATCTATCTATCTATCTATCTATCTATCTATCTATCTATCTATCTATCTATCTATCTCTTTCTCTCTCTCTCTATACACACACACACATCTATGTATGTCCATCTATATCTATGTATTTATATCTATCCATCTCTATGTATATATCTACCTATATCTATTTGTATATCTACAGGGTGGGTCAGTAAAAATTAAGAATTTTAAAGTTGTCTCATGTTTATTTCTGTAGCTGTATATAGTATTTTTTAAAAATAAAATTCATTATTCAGTGCCAGATAAATATTACTTAGAAATTTTATTCAGTGCTGTATACTAAATAAATAATGGATTTTGTGTTTATGAAAGGTTGGAAAAGGCCCAGGAGGAGAAGCGCACAGTGACGGTAGAGAAGAAGAATCTGGAGGAAAAGATGAGGGATGAGATTCAGGGAGCTCAGGAAGAAGCAAACCGTCTGCACAGACTGCGAGATGGAGCTGTGACTGAACTCAGCCGTCTGTGGTATGCGGAGGAGGAGCTCGAACAGGTAAAGCTCTGCCATTCTTCCTGAAAAACACCTCCCAACAACACTACTACATCATGGTTCTCTGTGCTCCTGGTACAGGTGCGCGGTGCACTGAAGAGGGCAGAGAAAGATATGCAGACCCTTTGGTCAGTTCCTGAATCCTTGCAGCTGTGGCTACAGCTCACCCATGAGGTGGAGGTTCAGTACTACAACGTCAAGAAGCAAAGTGCAGAACAACAACTCATCACAGCTAAAGATGAGGTATTAGATCATTCATTCATTCATTCATTCATTTTCTTTTCGGCTTAATCCCTTTATTAATCAAGGGTCGCCACAGCGGAATGAACCGCCAACTTATCCAGCAAGTTTTTATGCAGAGGATGCCCTTCCAGCCGCAACCTATCTATGGGAAACATCCACACACATTCACACACACACACACTCATACACTACGGACAATTTAGTCTACCCAATTAACCTGTACCGCATGTCTTTGGACTGTGGGGGAAACCAGAGCACCCAGAGGAAACCACGCAAAGGCAGGGAGAACATGCAAACTCCACACTGAAACGCCAACTGAGCTGAGGTTCGAACCAGCGACCCAGCGACCTTCTTGCTGTGAGGCGACGCAATCAAACATGCAATTAAATACAGCAAATATTTTCAGGTTGTTGGGTTTAGAATCTGAATGAACCATTAGCTCATACCTGTCAACATTGGGATGTGAAAATAAGGAATACACCCCCCCCCATTCAATTGCTTTACTAACTTATTATGCTCATTTAAGACAAAATTTGCACGATCAACATGTTTAGATGTTGTTGTTAATACTAATAAAAATAATAATAATGATAATAAAGATAATGTGTGTACATGTCTATTCAAACAGGCACCCAAAATGAGTCATGTCTAAATAAAATGAAAGCACTGAACAGATTCACATTTAAAAGCAGGGGGTGTCCCCTGGGGGTTCAGCGGTAAGAGTTGCATAAAGGGAGGGTCAGCTCTTTGATGTTTGTTGACATTGTTCAAAGAAAGATCAAAAATATCTTGACTGGATGAAAGAGGGATAGAATTGTAAAATACAGGAGAATCCCAGGAAACATGGTAGGGTTGACAAGTATGCCTTAGCTGTCCTTGAAGCATTTTACATGACATTATTGGATATTTTTTGCACAGGCAGAGAAGATCAAGAAGAAAAGGAGTTCAGTGTTAGGTACCCTACATGTTGCACACAGCTCCTCGCTGGATCAAGTGGACCAGAGAATTCTGGAGGCCAAGTAACTTGTTTACTCTCATTTAAAACTTATTATGCTACTTAAATGCCCCTTTTTTGATATTTTCTAATACAATGAAATTAATAAAATGCCTACCATTTCTGGGGCAAGTGCTCCTATGCTAAAATTCATGTTTCAAAATTAATGTTGGAATCTTGAGTACGCTTATGGTGTGGTCATATTTATCATTGTGGTTAAATCTAGAGATTTAAAAAAAGTTAAAAAGTTATTGAGCTTGCTGTCAACATATGTCCCATAATGGTAATGTGTTCCCTTGGTAGGAGTTTTGTTGCTGATTAAATAGATTTGACCACATGACTGTTTAAAACAATGAAAACAATCTGATTGAATGGGTTTTTGAATACCTCTGGATGGGTTTAAAAGTAAGCCTGTATTTATCATCATCCACTTATGATTGAATTGACAAACGCATTTTAATACCAGGTGTAAACAAGGCTTGAGACAAATTACAATAATTTTTTTACCCATAAAATCTTGCTGAAATGTGACAAATAAGATCATACGGTACCTTTAGTATTAGATTACACTGATCTGCATCTGCATTTTGTTAAAGGAATGCTCTCGCAGAGGTGACTGCGTGTCTACGGGAGCGTCTGCACCGCTGGCAGCAGATTGAGAGCTTGTGTGGTTTTCCTCTGATGAAAAATGCAGGTCTGCCAAATCTCACCGCTACACTCTACCCAGACCCCAACTGGATGCTCATGCCTCGAGCTGCACTGCAGTCCTACCAAGTGCCTGTTTCAGTGGAGGACATGGAGGAGGAAATGCCACAGATTATACCACAGATTCCTGGTAGGTACATACTTTTTATTCTTATTTAAAAGCATTTTCCTACTTTCGATTGTTTAAATATTTGTCGTTCTTTCGTGCGTCAAATTTACTTCACAATAGACCCGGATTGGCGTCATGGGCAGGGCTTCTGTCTACCTGGTGACTCTGGCTTTGTTGCTAAATGGCTAACATGGATTTTATTGAGAGTAGCTGTGCTTTAAGTGCTTTAGGAATACTGAAGAACAGCGTATATTTGTTCGGCGCCATGTCTCAATGCACTAGATCCTTTCAGAGTTTCACCCAGCTCTGTGAGTTGATCAACCCCTCCAGAAACCGGATGATGGAGGCTTTCAGCGGTGCTTCAGACTGAGTCGAGCCCAGCTAAGCACTTCGTCATAATCACGCCCCTACAAGAGAAAGCTCCTGATTGGTTAATGCGACGCAAATGTTCCCTAAAGTTAAGATTTTCCAACTCGAGCAATACTCACAATACGCTGAACTTGTGGCGCATCATTTGAACGAAACGTTTAACTCACACCTTGTCATTTGCACGATTTGCATCGACTTTTAAACATGTAAATCACTTCCGCTTAAAGCTTCATCTGTGGCTGGTGTGAACGCAGCATTAGGATCCTACAAACTGGAACTGAAAAAAAAAATGGTACCACAACATTATTGTAAACAACACAAATGCAAATTTGAGAAAATGGTGTTATCCTGTGTGTTCATGATAAACTAAAAACAAAACAATTGAACATTAGAGTAGCACAGGCATTTGGTATTTCTTAACAAAGTAAGATCGATCTATTGGCCTACTAGCATACTTAATACAGCGCTTTAGTCATTTTTACAAATCATATGAACAGGAATTATTTTGACCACATTGTCACCTGTCAGGGTGTTCGTAGGGTCTTAAAAAGTATTAAATTTACTGAAATATTGTGTTGTAGGTCTTAAATCATTATAAACAGGTCTTAATTTTCCTGTCAATAAAAAGCTACTCATTTACGCCCAAAATCATTCAATCACCAACAATCCAATAGTTTAATTCTTTTTACCAATGTAGTTTAATTAGCTTCTTTACAATAACATTCATTTAAAAGTAATTCATTTATGGTGGGGACACTGACCTGAAGAGACTTATCTTTTTTTTTTTAAAGAAATGCCATGTTAAAAAAAAGTGCATCTATGAAACCAGAGTTTGCTTGTTTTTATGCATACACATATTTAAAATATATGGCTAAGAAATAAGTAAATTAGAATTTCTTTGATGAGAATAGTAAAAATCTTTTCCTTTTCCATTAGAAAATAAATCCTTATAGTGTTTATCCCCATACAAGTCTTATATGTCATTCATAATGGTCTTTAAAAGTCTTAAATTTGACTATGAAACTTGCAGAAACCCTGCCTGTATGTAAAACCACTATTAATTATTTATATATTTGATTTACAGTCACAGTTGCACCTTTGAAGTGTTCTCCACGGTCTCTGGTTCGCTCCCGTCGATCTGGGCATATGGTGCCATCTCCTGTCATTGTATCACCTGACCCAGACCTCCTGATACCCATACGATCTCCACAAAGCCGATATGGAGATGATGAAGAAGGACATATCAAATACACCCCTATTGTGAAACAGTACGTCAGCCTGGAATATATCCTTTAGATTTGCATTGTTAAAATAAGGATTAACTAATAAATTTATTGTTCATATTGCTCACATTTTTAGACAAGGTTTAGACAAGGTAAAACTAGTATTGCTCTTGAAAGTACAAAATTTGACAAAATATTCAGTTATTAAAAGTTAAATCTCCCCACTTTGAATCAGTAAGAGGCCAGTGGAGTCAGATGCAGAGGGTGTGTGCATGTACATGACACAGGTATACACTCACTAGCCACTTTATCAGGAACACCTTACTAGTACCGTGTTGGACCCCCTTTTGCCTTCAGAACTGCTTTAATCCTTCATGGCATAGAATCAACAAGGAACTTAAAATATTCCTCTGAGATTTTGGTTTATATTGACATGATAGCATCACGCAGTTGTTGTGGAGTTGTTGGCTGCACATCCATGATGTGAATCTCCCGTTCCACCACATACCAAAGGTGCTCTATTGGATTGAGATCTGGTGACTGTGGAGGCCATTTAAATATAGTGAAATCATTGTCATGTTCAAGACATCAGTCAGAGATGATTCGGGCTTTATAACATGGCTTGTTATTGTGCTGGAGATGTAGCCATCAAAAGATGGGTACAGTGTGGTCTTAAAGGGATGGACATGGTCAGCAACAATATTCAGGTAGGCTGCGGCGTTGACACGATGCTCAATTGGTACTAATGTGCCCGTAGTTCTCCAAGAAAATATCCCCCAAACCATTACACCACCACCAAAAGCCTGAACTGTTGATACAGGGCAGGATGGATCCATGCTTTCATATTGTTGACGCCAAATTCTGACTCTACCATTTCAATGTCATAGCCTAAATCGAGACTTATAATACCAGGCAACATTTTTCCAATATTCTATTGTCCAATTTTGGTGAGCCTGTGCGAATTGTAGCCTCAGTTTCTTGTTCTTAGCTGACAAGAGTGAGACCCGGTGTGGTCTTCCGCTGCTGTAGCCCATCTGCCTCAAGGTTGGACGTGTTCAGAGATGCTCCTTTGCATACCTCGGTTGTAATGAGTGGTTATTTGAGTTACTGTTGCCTTTCTATCAGCTAGAACCAGTCCGGCCATTCTCCTGACCACTGGCATCAACAAGGCATTTGTGCTCACAGAACTGCCACTTACTCCATATTTTTTCTTTTTTTTTTACCATACTCTGTAAACCCTAGAGATGGTTGTGTGTGAAAATCCCAGTAGATAAACAGTTTCACTTAAATCACCTTTCTTCCCTATTCTGATGCTTGGCTTGACCTGCAGCAGATCGTCTTGACCATGTCTACATGCCTAAATGCATTGAGTTGCTGCCATGTGATTGGCTGAAATTTACGTTAACCAGCAGTTAGACAGGTGTACCTAATAAAGTGGCTGGTGAGTGTATTTAATAACTCATAGTGTGGCTACCACTTCACAAATATTTGAGAGTTGGTTAATCCCCATCGGCTTCCTGTTGAAGTACACGTCTGTGTTTACAAGATTACAGAGAATAATGAAGGCTCTGCCAATTGTTACTGTGGTTACTACTAATGTTTAAGGGAAGCGCGTCCATTTCAAACTGTGATTAAAGCTGACAGAAACTACCTGTGCATCATACAATGTTATTGCACACCTTCCAGCAAATCAGAATCAAGAATTTCAACTCATGAATATAGAATTTCAAGAGCATGGAAAAATGTTAGTCTACTAAACTAATGCTGATTGATAGTTATTGGGTTTGGAATGATGCTTGTAATGATGACAAGCTTAAGAGCTTCTCTTTCTCTAACAGGGAGTCAATGGAAACATCTTCAGATACAGAGTCCATCGGTTCCTCCATTAGCCGAAAGTACAGCACCCTTGACGTCCCACCACGAAGAAAATACATTTTCTCTGATAAAATGCCTCGAAAGATCTCCCTGGATGAACAAGAGGACACTTCCTCACGCAAAACTTCTCAGGAGGAGATGGACGAGTCTTTGATGGTGACCACCTCAAGGAAAGCATCACGAGAGGAACTGGACATCAATACTCCATCAAGAAAGACATCTAGAGAAGAATTAGACGAGCCTCCTAAACAACTGTTTAGAGGAGAAACCGAGATTTGCTTTGATTCAAGGAAATTACCCAGAGATCTGTCTTTAGATTCGACAGTGAGGTACTACTCTACAGAAAAGATGTCTCCAGTTGCCATCAGCATGGACAGTCAAAGACAACGATCGATCAGAGAGAGAAAAGATCACATGGACAGCATTTCTAGAGTTATACCAAAAGCAGAGTTTGATATAGATGCCACAACTGGATCTAGATATGCAGATGCCTTACTCAACACATCCATTAAACACAAAGAAAACCTGGACTTTGCAAGTAACATCCAGCGAGGAAGAATGTTTAGGGAAAACTCCTTTGATGCCAACTTTGATAGTTCAGTGGAAAGCTCGAAGAAATTGAAGACGTTAGCCAGAGCAGACCTATCCAAAGACATCCCTTCACGGATGATGACTCAAGATGAATTCGATGCGTCAGCAGATTTGGAAAGACTAAAAATGAGAGACATTGCGATGGAGACTGCTTCGAGGAACATACTGAGAGAAGAGTTTGATAGAAGCAAGTCCTTAAAAGAGAGCAGGGATATCCGGATGGAAATTCCATCAAAAAAACTCTTCCGGGATGAGCAAGAGGTCGCGATGGAGACACAACGGATTCAGCAGAAATTAGACAGCTCTCTGGAAACTCCAATTAGTAAAATACAGAGAGAGCTCATGGGTCTGTCTGTGGAGGCTCCAAGGCGCAAGATATCGCAGGAGGAGTTTGTTGTTTCAAACCCAGGACAGTTTGGCCCTCCTGACCTCACCGCCAGTTCTTTGATGCTCTGCAAACCACAATTGGATTCGATCAGCACACTAGTGTATGATGGGATTCTGGAAAAGTCCTATGAAAGCCCTCTTATGTCTAGTCCTGGCGATCTCAGTCACGCTGCATCAGTTTCTAGCTCTATTCAAAGTCTTGTGGGAAATGAAGGACAATCAGCCCATTCGTCATCTTCAGAATCTGGCGGCAAAGAAAAAGGCAAGAAAACCTCTAAGCTCAAGAGTTTGTTTAAGAAGAAAAAGGAGAAGGATAAAGACTCATGAAGGTCAACAAGTAGAAATTTAGTCACTATTAAAATGTCTGAAGATCTTAGAAAACTGTCTTAGAAATCAGCCTCATTGACCTAAACTGAACATACTCAATGCCTTGTATTTAGATGTTCGCACACAAAAAAAAAATCTGCTGGATTTGATAAGAATCATAAAATAACCTGTTTAATGCAGTCTGGTAAAACAATACAGCAGAACTCCACTTTGGATTGGATTCATATAAACCAGTATACGGTTCCAGTGTTTTTAAAGTAATACCACAGGTGAATTATGTGCTATCCAAGGAATGTTTCATGTAACACTTGCTCATTTTACAAATCTGAACAACACTTTTCCTGGATAAAAAAAAAAAAAAACATTTTGTCTGTGGAAAGTTCCATCCCGGAACCATATGTGCCAGTAGAGAACCTATTTTAAAGGGTGTACATGCTCAGTCCAGTAATCTAAATAAGACACTATTGAATGATTTTAAGGTAGAGAAACAACACTGGCTCATTGGAACTATGTGCTTCAGCCTACATTTTTGTGAAACTAAAGATGTAATTAAACAGACATTTGACTGCAGTTAAACAGAACACTGCCAGGCAGTATGATGCCAACAAATTTGATTATTTCCATACTGTACAAATAAAGGATTATATTTGTGCCATTTTTGGACAATGCCAGATAAACACCACAAAAAACATCATGATGTATGAATTATGAAATGGTAATCAAAAAACAATTGCCTCGCCTGTTTATCTTCATATTGACAACGTTTTTGATGTGATCAGTTTGCTCTGTAACTCACTTTGTATAGTGTTGTACTTGTGCTGCTTAGTTTTGAGTCTGGTAAAGCATGTTTCTACCAAAAAGACGAAAACAATGTGAAATCAAGGTATAACATGGCCCCATGCACCTTTCTGATACGTTTGCTTTTGAAACCACTATAGAGTATATGCACAGCTAGTGTTTCCAGTGAACTGTTAGTGTGACTTTTTTAGTTTTGTATGATTCCTTTTACAGCATCAATGTTGTAAAGTAATTAAAATACAATCAGTAAATAAACTTCGGCATTAATTTAGTTGTTCAAGTGTAAACTGTTCAGGATCACCAGGGGCCTCATGTATCAACGATGCGTACGCACAAAAACTTTGCGTACACCAGGTTTTACGCTCAGAATCGCTCACGTTTGGATTTACTAACAATGAACTGAACGTGGGAATGTGCGCAGCTTCACGGCAGCTTTCTGGCTGGCGTACGCACATTTTTTGTGCGTGTCTGTTTTATTTCCATTGGCGACTCCTAGAGGCAGTTGTGTTAAATTCCTCTCTACAAAGTGTCTGAGCCTTGCAATGGCAGCTGTATGAGACGGGTTCAGCAGGTATATAAGGTTTCCATACCATACATTTGACCAGCCAAACATTAAAGCACAATTTGCAGCGGTCGCCTGTTTTCCCAATGTAATCTGAGTAATCTACCGCACGCACATTGCTATAAAGACACTATCTGAAGATGAATTTGCATGCGTGAATCAGAAACATTTACATTCAATAAATGTGCAAATAAAATATGATGCTTATTGATATAAACTTATTGATGATTCCTACTTGTCTTTCTCGTGATAAATAGTTGGCAAAATCTGATATGTAGCGGGGGAAAAAACAAGAAAGAGTTCATCAGACGCTGGATTCGAGCCGAGTTCAAGCTTGAACGTATCAATTCATGATCACATGCGTCTTACGAGTAGCGCCACTGAGACTGTTAAGCGTCCTGCAACATTTTACAGATATAAACCACACTATTTCTTTTTTTTAATGCACTAAGTGCGATGTTCAGACCCAACTGTGTTGACCGCATCAGCTAAACTCTCCCACTCTATTTTTTTCTTTTGTTGTTAATTCCGGAGAACAAACTTGCAAATAACACCGCTTTTCTCCGGTCTACCTCCGAAAGCAGCACCTTCAATTCACATTCATTGCGTACGCACATTTACAGCTTTGTGCGTACGCAATGTTTTAGTAAGATTTCCACGCAAGTCTTCGTACATGAGGCCCCAGGTGAGCGCAGAAACACCATTGAAAATACTGGAGTAAAATAAATGTTCATAATTTCAAGACATGGTGTGGGTAAATTGATTTTTTTAATTGTTTTTTTTTTATTGTATGCCCACATTCACAAAATATTAACATCAAAACGTATAAATGTATTACAGATAGTGTACTTGGGATGGAAAGTAACAAGAAATTAATGTAAAAAAAATAGTTAAACAAATAAAAGTACTTTCACATTATCTTAGAGCAGTCTTTAAGTGTAGGTTATAACAAAAATGTAAATGAATGACAAGGATCCTGTGTTAATTTAAGAAATCTCTTTTATGTACTCTCAAAGGGGAGGCGAAAATTCATTTTAATGCAGTGCTTCTTGTACAATCTGAGACCTTTTATGTCATATATCAATCTGACATTGGAGTTTAATAAAAAATAAAAAAAAACAGACCGTAAATGTGCTGATTTTGTAACTGCATATAGTTCACCGGAAGTGCTTGAGCCAGGCTATTGCAAAGTTAAAAGTCTTTCCGCATATACCCTATTGGTTAAGTTTAGTGGAGAGTTTAGTTTTTAGCTGGTGTAGGTGAACTGTATGACAAGCCCTGCCTTTCAACAGTATGAAAAGGAAGTGTATTTGAAACGTATAATAAAATTTACTGAATACATTTCAGATTTGCAAAAAAATGTAAACAGTGCCCTCTAGTGGATTTGTCATCTGAAAGTGCAATGGAATGTACCATGAGCAAAGTATTTTACATTTTGCAAAAATGTAAAATTGAAGCATGTATTCACTATAAACCTTATTTGAACTTGAAGAAATTATGACAAATACTGTACTTAACTACTGCACAACAACCCAATTCTATAGTGCCATATAATTGTAACATGCTTAACTTAATTACTTAAATTACTTAATTCTTAAGTTATTTATTTGATTGTTTGTACAGTCATGTAATGGCAGGTTTTGATTGTGCTATATTTGTATATATATTTTAAAAAATAGCCATTAAATATTAAAAAAAAAAAATTTAGTGTCCAATGATAGTAATTTATGTAATCAAACTTTCAGCTAGGCATTTGTTTGCTAGTAATCATTCAAAAATGTAAAGCTCAATGAAGTAGGATATTTGTATTTATATAAATTACATTGTATTTGGCAGCAAACACTGACAATTACTTTCCTGAATGTAGTTTACAGACTTAACTTACATTTAATACTTTTACACAGACTTTTATGACTTGTGTAAGTATTTTATTTTATCAGTCAGTTCATTCAGTGGTGGAGTCTGTCTGATTTAATTGTGTAGCACTTTTGATATTTTTTCCTCCCCAAGCGTGCAATATTATTATTTGAGAACAAATCTCTTTGGAATTTTATATCTATGTATACAGTCAAGCCTGCAATTATACATACCCTGTAAAATTAGTTAGTTTTATTCAACCACAGTTTTTCTTTAGACACGAAATGCCACAGGCTTCTTCCAAAAGTTAATAAGATGATGTACAATAGGCATCACTGTGGAAAAAAATATATCTTTCTCAGCTATTATTTACAATTGAATGAATAATTTCAGGCGTGACTGTATGTATGTAATTTAAAATATTTTGAGTTTGTTTCTGTTCTGTGTTTTCTGTCAAAAAAAAACACAATAGTTGGATTTTTTATAAATGTTTAACCTTTCTGATGTGCATTGCCATGGTTAAGAGAACTTTATAACCTGGAACTAAATAGCATCTGGATTTGCACGATTCATAACAATAGCTGTCTAAACATTTCAAACGATGAATATTATTGCACAATTTCTCAAACATATAATCTTAAGCAATATCAAATAAACAAGATGTTCACAAAGAGATCTGTAAATCTCTTTTTATTTCTACTGATTTGTCAATATGCTGTTTGGATGGGCGGATGTTTTAACCTCAACATTCACTTCCTTTTTCAGTTTATTTCTTAGTTGTTGTTTGATAAACGACTGCTGTGCCACTATTTTGAATCAAGTGTTGTGAAAGTGTCTATTCAGGAAGCCTTTTAGTGTCATGACCTTTATCCTAAATGTCATGTACCCAAAATAATATTCAAACAAACATTGGTTTTTCAGTTTGATACAGGTCAGACGGCCATGACTCATTTAGAAAGCTCCACTGAGATTCAGAGATTTAATTGCACAGTCAAACGTCTGATTCTGCATTTTCCAAAACCAGTTTCAAGTTGTTGTTGTTTTATGTTTTCAAAATGGGGGTTTCCAGAGTGTTCTGATCACAAGTTCTTGTTAATTGTATATTGTGGGTTTTTTAACCACAACTGTTTCCAGTGGTTTCAGAAAATGTGTTTCACTTTGTGTGTGTGGTTAAATAAATACTGTTTAAATTTAAGTAAGCAAGGAGGTTACAATTGACTCTAATTCGCAGTGTTTACTCTGTTTCTGGTTAATTATATGTTTGGCAACACATCCTTTAACTCAAACTGATTGTTATTGATTGTTATTTATTACATTTGTTTGCATAACAGTATGTGAACTTACTCACTGACTTGCCCAAAGTTATGCAAACAAACGTAATAAGTGGCATTGTCTTTTAACCAATAATCTAATTTTAATACCATTAAGACAATACTCTGATGCAGGAGTGATTTTTGATTACCTTAATCTGACTCGAGTCCTAATCGAACTAAACTGGATTAAGATGTGGAGTATGCTGATTTTAGTGGCATTATTGAAGTGCATTACAAATACTTTTATACAACAGTTCTGTCTGGTCCTTGAATTTGATTGGTTGATAGCCGTGCGATATTCTGCCAGTGACAGCACTCGTTCCGCCTCTTCACCCTTGTGTAGCACTCCGCCCACATACAGAGGACACTCTACAGTTTGACAAATATTGCAGCTGTTGGACAACATAATGCACTTTTGAGGCTTTTTAGTCAAGAATGTAGTTGTTTAGATTGCATCTATGCAGTTTATGTATAAGGATAGTGCCTAATTTAAATATTTATATTTTCTTAGACACAGCGAGTCGGTGGCCATTAGTCTATCATTGACCACACCAAAGATATTGTCCATCCACAAGGTGGCGACAGAGACCGCATAAGCCCTTAAAAGATAAAACAGTGTAATTTCTAACTACAGCTGATCAAATCGACAAGTGATATTCTAAGTCGATCTCTCTCTTTTGTATGTTGTATAGCTGTATTTATACCATATAATTACAGTGTATTGAGTGTGAGATGGGACTCGCATATGAGTAATGTTTGTTGTGTTGGCATAAAGAGAGAAGAAATGCCCAGATGTGTTTAGCGTTTTTCCCTTATCGCACACACAACAGCAGTCTAGTAATTGCATTGCTTTTTTGGGGGGTTAATTATTGTGATTTCCTGATTGCAACTGAGAAAAAGTGTAGACTGTAATACAGTGATCTCTGTAGACTGATGGCATTTCATGCCATTCAGCCTTACAATCTTAAAATGTCAGCAAAATCACTTGTTTTGTCATCATTTTAGACATTACACTATGGAATCATTCAAACTCTCACTCTAAAGTGATATTGGTGAATTAGTAACGGTTTCTGCTGTTCTGACGTCAGCTCCAGATATGAATGAATGGTGGAAGAAAGTAGTTCCTAATACAACAGGGGTTTTACACTCTCCATGTTTGATTTTCTTTTTTATATACACGATTTTGCTGTTGAACTGTTGTAAAAACGCAATCTTACACGAGTAGTAGTGCGATGTGGCTGTATATCGTCACTGGTGGGACACTAAGGCAGAGGTCAAACTCCTCCCACCAGTGCTGATATACAGTCACATCGCACTGCTACTCAAGTGAGATTGCTCATTAATCAAACTATTATCGTCGTGTAGGATTTTCACCGCATTTTGCGACCGGATAGTCTATACACACACGGCTGTTTGACACTATTCTTCGCACCTACCAAGTCATTGAAGGACCACATGCATCGCGAAATGCGGACATTTTTTCCATTCGGCTTGCGCCATAAAATTCCATTAAAAATACACTTATTCAGTGGTTCATACTCGCATCCAATATCTCGTTTGTCACAGGGGGGCATGGATGAAATATTCCTGAATGAAAGTGAAAGTGCCAAACTGAAGTTAAAGTCGACAAATTAAAAATGATACACTTGAAATTACATAAAACTCCGGACGAAATGTGGATAGCGTGGAGACACAATGACGTTAATCTAATTATGTGCTATAACATGTAAAATAGGATCATGAAAAGAACATTGAAAAAGCAACTCATGTAAACACCTTAATCAAATAATTCAATTACTGATGTCCATGTAAACGTAGTCAGCGTTTATATGTGTACAGACTTAATATTTAAGACGATTAATATTATAAGAAGAGAGACAGCAAACATTAGGATATACAATCAGACCTTTAACTTGCTGAGAAAAGGGAAGCGAATCAAATTTAATCATGCGGAAACAGGAAAACCACAATCTTTATATGATGTAAATGCCCCATTGTATATTTAGCTGACAAACCTAAATGGAAAACTGTGTGGTGCGAGGCTGTTTATCGAAACCAAAAAAAAGTCCCACTATGAGAGAAGCTTTTGTGTTCTTTTTTTAAGAGAGGCTTTAAACATGGCTGGTGAGACAGGATATAACAGTATTGGCTTCCTGTTATGGTCAGATCAAATGTTTTGCTTCTAAAATTCCTCTATTGGTTTTTAGTCAAATCGTTTAAAATCATGTTGTCACCAACATATCAATTCAGCAGTTCATCTGCAGTTTGACTGAACTCTGAGCCCTGAATGATCTTCTGTGATGTGCTGACTGTAATAAAAACAACTATACTTTTTATCAGAATGAAACCCTACATCATTAAGGTTTGCAAGGTTTTGTGAGTCGCAAGAAATGATCAACCATGCTAATTCAAATCAGAATTTATAAACACCCTCAGTCTAAGCAAGAGGAAACAAACAAACCCAACTTACAAGTATGTGAAAGTCCTTTAGCAGAAATCCCTCCCACCAGAGACAACTAGACCACACGCAGACTGAAGACCCTTGTCAGTCTGAGATGGAGAGAGCAATGATTTCTGCCATTACACTTCTCTGTAAGTCCAGGTTTAAATCAAATCTTTCATGCTGTGACGTGGTATTGATTGGACTGACCGTCTTGTTTCACATATTTGAACTTACATTTGTTCTTTAGGTGTTTTGTTGTGTGAAGAGCAGAAAGTGTTCGGGACAGAAGTGAACATGAGAGTTAACCCAGGAGAAAGCGTCACTCTCTACTCTGACTGCGCTGTACTGTTTGGATCTCACATTGTTTGGATAAGAAACTGCTCGCATGAGAATCAGCCATCTCTAGTGATAGATCCCTCAAATATGTTTTTAGAGACACTTCCTCGTTTCAGTTTAGTGGTCAACAGCTCCAGTAACTCTTATGATCTACATATAAAGAATGTCAGTGTCTCTGATGAAGGATTGTATTATTGTGCCATTAATGAAAGAAACGTAAAGACAAATTCTGAGTACCAGAATGGAAACATGACAACGCGTCTATCTGTCTTCGGTAAGAAAGCATTTCTACTTTTGCTGATTTTGCCAATTTAGGTAAACAGAAGAAACTGTAGGTCATATTTAGGGCAGGACAGAATCTGCAGACATTTTTGGCTATTTATGCGTAGAATTTTGTAAAATGAAGAATTATTTTGGGAGTATCTTAACTAAAACTTAATATATGAAATAAATAAAAAATTACTTTTGAACTTTAAATGTTTACAATGCAAATCTTATTAGATTGACTTATTTGGTAAACAAAGCATGTCTTCCATATAATAGAAAAATATTACTTTACAAACTGTATTGTACATAAACATTTTCATTTTAGTCGATAATATTACTGAAATTAATAAATAAATATATTTAGCTCCCCTGAATTATTAGTATTGTTTATTTTCCCCCCAAATTCTGTTTAACAGAGGGAAGATTTTTTTCAACACATTTCTAAACATAATAGTTTTAGTAACTCATTTCTAATAACTGATTTATTTTATCTTTGCCATGATGACAGTTAATAATATTTGACTAGATATTTTTCAAGACACTTCTATACAGCTTAAAGTGACATTCAAATGCTTAACTAGGTTAATTAGGTTAACTAGGCAGGTTAGGGTAATTAGGCAAGTTATTGTATAATGATGGTTTGTTCTGTAGACTGTCGGAAAAATATATAGCTTAAGGGGGCTAATTATTTTACCTTAAATGTTTTTTCGTTTTATTATTTTTAAAAAATTGCTTTATTCTAGCTGAAATAAAACAAATAAGACTTTCTCTCGAAGAAAGACCAGATCAGACATACTGTGAAAATTTCTTTGCTCTGTTAAACATCATTTGGGAAATATTTAAAAAAGAAAAAAAATGCTAAGTGGGGCTTATAATTCTGACTTTAACCGTTTATAGTTTACATTTTCACTAGTAGTTTTTAAATTTGTACCCTCATATAAATGTGTATAATAGTATTAATATAAACTATAAATATTTAAATATAAATATTTTTATATTAATATTTAATAAAAAAGTGTAGTAACCATGTTTTTTCACATATTGATCACCATTTGTAAAAATACAAAATTAACGTTTTTTGACTTTGGACCCTCATGAAAATTGATGATGGTTTTATAATAGTATTAATATAAAATAAGAAACAGAAATCTTTAATATAAAAGTGTAGAAACCATGTTTTTTTGTTGCGTATTGATTACTATATGTAAAACTATAAAATAAAAAGGATTTGTATTCACCAGTGGGTCGTTTTATATTATTGTTAATATAAAGTTGTAGTAACCATGCATTTTTGTTGTAAAAATGAATGATGGTTTTATAATAGTATTCATACAAAATATTAAACAAATATTTAATATTCATATTTAATACAGAACTGTAGTAACCAGGTTTTGTTGCATATTGATTACCACAGCTTTACTACAAATACCATCGTAAAAATGTTTGCATAACAAAACAACGGTTGATTTTCAGTTACCATGGTTTAACTATAAAATATAGTTAAACCATGTAAACCATATATAGTGTTTTAAATTTAAATCGTGGTTAGATTTTATACATGCATGTACGGTAGCATTAAACCAAAATTAGGAAAAAATTAAAAATAAATAACACACACAATACAGTACACACACAAATTATTTTTTAAATCTCCATGTAAATGTTGGTAAACAAAACATTCACAATATGACACGTGTGTGTGTGTGTGTGTGTGTGTGTTTTACATGTTCATGTCCATAAATAACTGTTTTCTAAGTTTATATATTTTTAAATATATTTTAGAATTTTCAATATCATTACTCTAGAAAATGTCACCCGATTCTTCAAAAATCATTTTAAAATAATGTTTAGCTTTTGTGGTATGATCAATTACTATGACAATTTATAGATTATTAAAGCTGTATAAGTATAATTAATAAGTGTTAAGTGTTTTAGTCATCATTTACATATTTAAATAGTAAAAAACTACATTTTAATAATAAATTTAATAGCTAAAAATGATGCCCAAGACCAATGCAGTGACAATATCCTTAAAATGTCATAATAATAATAATAATAATAACAACAACAACAACAACAACAACAACAAAAACAGGAACTAAGCATATATTTTTAAAAAGATGTAGATGATATTTTTGACATTTACCTTTGCTTGTTTGATTCAGAGTCAGTGACTTCACACACAGATAACATCAACATCACCTCCAGATTTCCTGCATCAGACTGTGGGCTCTGCTTTATTCTGCTGTTCAGTGTGTGTTCGGTGTGTGTTCTCCTCTTCTCCGTCTGTCTCTACTGCCTCTGTCACAAGAAAACTACAGGTAAACACTTACTCCTCAACTCGGTTCATCCACCAGATCTATCAGGTTCCATACAGCAGCTATGAATACTCTGATGGCACAAACAGAATAAAATCTCATGCAATCTAAAACAAAAAATATATATATATATAAAATGAATATTTGAATGAACTTCAGCAAAAATGTCACTGCTATATTTCAGAAAGTGATTTTAAATGAATGAATTTCTGATGATTTTATTTGTAGTTTCTGCATCAACACAGACTGAGAATGGATATTATGAGGTACTGCATACAAATATACATCCCAGTGTGTCCTAATTATTACATATCTGATACAAATTTAATAGATTATGGCATTTAGATCAATAAGAAAACATGTATGACTTGATTTCCCACAGAGTGAAGCAAAAGTGTGTTACGCCTCCCTGAACACACCTTCAATGCTGAAGAAAAAGGATGTGCAGCGATCAGACTTCAGTATTTACACAGAGGTCCAAACCAACAGAAAATAGTCAAAGCTAGTTCTGCTGCAATCTTTGAAGACACAGTGCTTCATATGCTGATATTTATAATCTTTTGTTTTCTGTTATAAAAATAATATGGTAAGATACCTTAATCATCAAGTTCACTTGAAAAGGATAGGCTTTTACAGCATGTAAAAATCAAAAAATGTTTTGACCTTTTTTTATCAGGTACCATCATATTATTTGAACAGTCACTTTGTTTAAATAATCAAGACTGAGAGCGTTTTATTGGTAATGTGTCAGCTTTTCTATTGACAAATTGTGAAGTTTTTTTATTTACAAATACTTCTAACAAAGCAACAACAGATTTTTGTACTGGACGAGTTAGACCATTCATATTATTACAAAACGAAAAGATTACTGAAGCAAAAACCACTAGTCTATAAAACTCAGAGAGTATTACATGCATTAAACAGCTATAAGGTCAAATAATCTAAAGAAACCACTTACACGATTAAAGCAAACAGTGCTATATTCCTTTTATTTTGTTATATTTCACTCAAAAATTAAATTTGTCATCAGCAACTTACACTTGAGCTTATACCAAACCTGAATTTCCTTCTTCTGTTGAAAAAAAAGATGATATTTTGATGATTTAAAGTAGCATTACAATGTATGGTAGCCACTGAATTCCATAGTATTTTGCCCTCTATAGAAGGCAATGGCAACTGTCTGACAACCAACATTATTCAAAAAATTATCATCTTTTGTTGTTAAACATTAGAACAATTTAAAGTGTTAGTAATTGATGACACTATTTAAATTTTTGAGTGAACTGTCCTTTTAAGTGTAAGTATAAATGTAGCGATTGTCAATCTTTATTTATTAGCAATGTAGCTCTATGTAATTTATCTTCAGAAAGAGTATAATGTTGAGAATATAGCCTACTTCTGATTTTGTACATGAAATATGTTATCATTATTATTTTAATAAAGATATTTATATAGATGGAAAGTCTTTTTTGGAACACTTCTTCATTTTTACAATGGACAAAAGCACTATTCAGCATCTTTTTGGGGGTGGGGAGAGGGGTTGGAGAGAAACTGCACAGAAGGACTTCAAATATTGACAATAATAACAAAAATAAAGTAACAAGAGCTTAAAGTGTTTAAAAATCTGGTAAACTGAGACTGAGATAGACTCTCTTCAACAATTATGCTTTGCACCATTTATTTAAAAGTTCCATTTCAAATAAAGTGTTTTCTTCTAAACAGTAACAAGTGCTTAAATAACAAGTGCTATAAAATGCTGAAGAACTGAATGGCTAAACTGAAGATTAGAAGTGAAATTAAGGCCATTACCACTTCTTTTTTCTGGGTTATAAGGAAAGTCCTGCAAACTCTTTATTTTAAAGACATTTGGATCAGAAGATGGAGCTGGTCCAGTGGAGGAGGCTGGTGGTCTGCTGTTTGTCCAATCATGTTTTTTTTCTTTGATCAAATAAAAATATCAGGCTACCTCAAATCAATCGCTCCACAGGAAATATGCATTTAATTAATGCTCCGCTGTTATTATAGTTACACAAAATCTCTGTCAACATTTTTCATGATTATGTCTTATGATTCTGACTTATTTCCTCCGTTTAACTCGCGGTTCATGTGTGTGTGTGTGTGCGCTGCGTGTGAAGAAAATGACAATGAACCTCAGGGGCACTATTTTGACAATCCAGGCCTAAAGCGCAGGGCGCAAAAGCATTAAGGGCATGTCAGAATCCACTTTTGCTATTTTAAGGATGGAAAAATCTGCTTTGTGCCGTGGCTCATGGTCTTACAGGGTTGAGCTTATTCTCTTAATGAGTTATAGGTGTGTTTTGAGAATAAACCAATCAGAGTCTCATCTCCCATTCCCTTTAAGAGCCAGTTGTGTTGCGCATTTGCTATTTACATGACGGACTTTGTAAGTGGAAAAACTGAATGCTTCACTAGAGAGTAAAGAGTTAAACAGAGCATCTACAGGTGAGAATGAGCCTCCTCATTCTTTACTTTCACTTTTGCTCTCGTGGATAAGGAAGCGTGTTGTAGGCACAGACATCCATTAGCCTATACATAATTCATTTTGTTTGTTAAGCGTAAATATTTGTTTCAAAACTATTTCTAAATTCAGTTCTAATTTCCAGCAAACGAATAAATAAACAATAATAAGGAAGTGTGGAGGTATATCCTAATACACATGCTTTGCCCCATATGGTCTAAAACCTGACAGGTGGACAAATCTAAGCTTGTTTTTAATAAAACAAATATAAATAATCATATATTAAATAATGTGATTAATGTGATTAATTGTTCTGGTCTATAGAACAGTCTATTATAGTTTCTCAAAATAGCAACACGCCTCATTTTTTAGGCCAGAACACCTACGGGTGCACATAAGAGCGCAAAATGACTCTTGCACCAAGCTGAATCTAGCAAACAACAATTGCGTCGCACCTTGCGCCAGGTGTATGATAGGGCCCTTGGTGTTCAAACTAGTCAATAAAAGTCATGATGTGGTGAGTGTAAACTTCATATCAGATACACAGATTTTGTTGGGTCACCCAAAAATGAAAACAGTCTCCATTTACTCAAGTCTTATTCGATTGGATCTCACAAGACTTTAGTTCATCTTCTGAACATCAATAATGATTTTATTAATTAAATCTGAAAGATTTCTACCCTTCCTCTTAAATGGACAGTTTAGCCAAAACTGACAGTTTTGTAATCATTTACTCATCTTGAATTTGACACAAAGCTGTTTAAGTTTCCTCCTCCTGTTTAAAACAATAGAGCTTTTCCAAATGGAAGTCAAATGTTTCTAACATTTGTCAAAAGATCTTTTGTGTTTAACTGAAAAAAGAAACTCAAAGGTTTGAAACCACATGAGGGTTAGTACATAGTGAGTAAATATTCATTTTTGGGTGAACTATCAGTTTAAGGTCTGTCCACACAGTGAGACTGTTCATCAAACGTTTATAAATTTTCCTATGGGGGTCTTTATTTTTAGACCCCGGATGTACACATTCTCAGTTTCGATGACAATGATTTCATCAAACGAGTTGTCATTCTCAGTCAATAAGAAAACCACATGTTTCCACTGGAGCATGAAAATGTCATGACATATCAAATAAAGTGTTTGTTCTTGTTTCCATGGATAGATTGTTCTCTGTGTGTTTTTGATGATGCTGAATCATAAACATGGAGAAAAGCCCATACTAACTATCTGTTTTGACACTGTCCTAAATGTTTTTTTTATTAATTTGCCTTTGTAATGTCAAAACAATTCTCACAGTCCTCCTCTTGTGTGTAAATTTCAAGTGAAGGCCTATTGCAAGGCACAACAAAGAAACAAAACAAAATTAGCACTGAATTTCACACCTACTTTGCAAATGAGTCAGTGCATGAAAGTACAAGCAAATGTAAGGATAGTGAGTAAAGTATTTTAAGGACCAAAGATTGCTATAAAATATTTATATGATGTGGGTTTTCTGGAATAAAGTGATGAACATAATATTCAATATTATAAGCACCATAAGCCATTTAATTAATTTATTTGAATTGAATATGAACTACTGATAACTAACAAAAATGTTGACATGGATATTATATATATATATATATATATATATATATATATATATATATATATATATATATATATATATATATATATATTTTATTATTATTATTTTTTTAAATTAACTAGACCTTGAAACATTTTTGAATAACCTTGAAGTACATCAAACACATTATTCAGCATCATAAATAAAAGGTTGATATCCTTCACGGAATTGTGCAAAAAGACTTACAGATCTAGAATAAAGTCAAGGCCATCCATAAACATTTCCTCTGCTGTGATGTCCACACTGTCTTGGTCACAGATATCTTCTTCGCTTGTGCAGAGGTTGCGTCTTTTCAGAATTTTTCTTTGGATCTATCGTGTGATGAATATAAAGTGTCTCCACTGTTTGAAAATTAGACAAGCAGTTGAATTAGTGGCCATTGCATGTTTTAGGTAATTTAAACACTACCATCTTTTGTTTTGTTTATATATTACACAATTTTTGAGTAAAATAGTTTACCGTCTCACTCAACTCAAATCATATCGTCAATATCACAGACTTCACAGTAGTGGGTTGTTGACTAACGTCCCTTAAAGGCGAGTCATTTCACCCGGCGGCCATCTTTGAAATACCTCTCGGGCTGTATTCTCGGGCATTCTATCTGAATGGGAAAACATCAAATTCTCCAAAACTGCTTGCCAAGCTAACGATTGAAATTCATATTAGGGAACAACAATAAAACTATACAACAACTGTGTCTTTGGTTTCATTTTTTAACATTCAAAATAATCACACAAAAGTGTCTACAGAAACTCACGTCTGGTCCGCTCCCCCGGAGGAACGTCAGTCTATAGCAATCAATGATTGGCTCCTGTGCTAGAAGGCGGGAGTTATTCGCCATATAGCGATCAATGATTGGCTCCTGTACTATTAGGCGGGGCTTTATTCACCATATTGACCATTACACTTTTCCCCATTCAATAAGATATGAGCATTGCCAGACGGAATCTGTGGACATTTTTTTGCTATTTCTGCAGAGAATTTTGGTAAAAATCTGCAGATTTCTGCGGAATTATTTTGGGAGTATCCAGCGGAGTATCATAACTAAAACCTTAATATATTAAATAAAAAGTAATAAATTACTGAATAAATTCATATTTACACATTTACTTAAGTAAATAAATAGAATTAATAATGGGCTAAAAATCTCCAGAAATCTGTGGAATTCTGCGGAAAATCTGCGGAATTCTGCGCGCGCAGATACCGTGTGGGCCTAGATATGAGTGACATGTCTTGTGTATTTGCATGTCTTTGTTAACGTAACTGTTTTTTAACTCACGTTTCAGTCAGTGCCTTCAAACCAATTAGACACGCTTACAGTAAAATAAACTTGATCTTAAAGTCTACTATCTAAACTGACAGCACCACAAATAGGATAATATGCAGATTCAAAGACTAGACTCAAAACTCCAAGTTTAAAAACTCAAGACAAAATCAAGCGTTTGCTCTTGAAGCCAGAGTTAACGTAATCACGTTAGTGTGGTCAGGGGGCCAAGTCACTCATACTTTTTACAGAGCTTTATAGAATGCAGATCATGTCAATGCTGCCTTACATGGATAAACAGGAAAAAGGATCAACATTTTAATTTGAAGGACATTTTCAGCATATCAGGATATATTCGTAATAAACCTTTTCACAATTTTCAGGCTGCCATACTATGAAAGTGACTAGCGCGGTTTTGTTCTAAAGGGACATTTCACACAAAAAAAATTCATTTGTTTTCTCTTCCTCCAGTTGTTCCAAACCAGTTTGACTTTCTTTTGTCAAACACAAAAGATGTTTTTGTTTGCAGGTTTTTTTTTCTGTAGTGTGTCATAAACAACAGTTTAGACTTCCTAACATTATTTGTGCAATTAGTAAAAAGATATTTGTTTGCACAAGATGCAGCAAATGCTCACCATCACCATGAAGAAACAGAACTGAGACTAAATCCGGATCTTCAAGAGGCTTCTAGATCTAGAAACCTACATGCAAAGCTACCTAAAAAAATCTTGAGCAGGTGTAAGACAAAAGCTGCTTAAAAAACAAAGGCTAGCCACACCAAATGTTGATTCAACCTTAATTAAAAATAAAATAATTTACCAGCTTTATTTTTTAAAAGCATTCTCTCTTTACAGCACTTTAACTTAAGGTCATAAAAGTACACAATAATTTTGCGGGAAGATTTCTTGTAGGTGTTCTTCTGTTCTTATATAGGCATTTTCACCTCAGCTTCAATCAGCGAATGCACATAAACCCAATGTAATAAACACTACATATGAACCAGTGTACTGTATCATATTTTTATTAATTGGCCTCAACTGGCATACTGTATGATTTTTACGAGACTATTTAAAATTTTCAAATTGTGGAAAAAAATGTAGTTTTAGTCACCAATCTTTATTTAATGTGTAAGCAAAAGTGGCAAAATTTCGTTCTTAAAAAAATCTAACTTAAATATGGGCTAACTTGCATAAAATTAAAACAAAATGCAATTTATTTTGCTGAAAATGTGTGCACACTGAAATTTAATTGTATTCATTATAAGATCAACTGTTACAACTTTTACAAAGTAAAGTTCTGAACACATTTTCATAATATTTATATCAGTGCAGGCAGAATAAATCATTTGAGTGATGTGGTGAAGATTGACACTTTCCTCTTGTGATAAAACACCCTTTCAGGCCTGTATAACCACAATATAAAAAGAATGTTTTCATTGTCATTTGTAGTAGATTTCTGTATAAATGTTCTTGCAGTGTGGCAGAATTGCATAGTTTAAGGACAATCTTTTATTACTTTTGCTAGGATTAAAAATGTCTGTTGAAGAATAAAATAATAGTCAACATCCTGAACCAGTGTTAGATCAAAATCACCTCCTGACCAAAAAAAAAAAAAGAGGCCACAACGAGGCCACAGAAACTTTTTTTAAGCCGTCATTAGAATGGTGCATCTCAGGCTGAAAGAACATCCTCATATCATGTTACACATGACTGGAGGTAACACTTTCTCCCAGCAGCGCTGTCAGCATGACCTGTGGAATGTAGCTGAGGATTATCCTGATGAAGAGAGAGTCAAGGGACCTGCTGCAGAATCCAGACTATCTATATCTGTAAGCTCTAAAATGAGGGCTTGCAAGAACGCTTTTCGTGTTAAAGGCTTCTTGCCGTTTCCCTTGGTCACTAGTTCCTGCATGATGAAGGCATTCTCTACAGCGATGTCCAGAAAGTGATAAAACATGCATTGATACCACTTTTTGGGTTTATGTATGGCTCTGAAATGTTCAGTGACGCAATCAGATGAATCCACTGCTTCCATGTTCCTGCATGAAGACAAAACAAAAGCAGATGTCAAAATCTAAAACATCTGTCTGATCAACAATAAGACAATAAGGAAGATCTGTGTAAAAGGCCTGCCACCACAGCTGGAAAAAATCCTAGAGGAAACACTGATATTACTTACTTGCTGTAGTCCAGCACCACAGCTGGAACGGGGATCTCCTCAAGGGTTCGATGTCCATCCCGCCTCACCTTCCTCTGCACAGTATCACCTTCATAGGCTTTATGGAATGAAGAGCACATCTGCACCTCCTTGGAGTCTTTCCACTCAACAAACAGCAGCTTGTCTTGTCTAATCCAACGCATGGTGCCACGTGGAGCATTCGATAACAGCTTGTTCTTAGCTGATTTTGGGTAACCGGTCCTGTTTGGCCAAACAGGGCCACAAGCCAAGACCTTTTTGTCCAGAAGGTCTGTAAAGAGTGTGGGGCTGGTGTAAAACTTGTCTACAAACAATTTGTACCCAGAACCCAACATATTCTCATCCACTAACGCCATCACAGACTCATAGCTCAATCCCTCGCTCCGTGACGCACACGACTTCCCCTCGTGAATAAAGAAGTCCCACGTATAGCCGCAGGTGCAGTCTGTCAGTGCAAAGAGTTTGAACCCCATATTTGGAGATCTGCTTTTCAGGCTTTGTTTGAGTCCAGTTCCAGCCTGTGGTTTGACCATTCGTTCAACAATGGTGATGTTCTGAAAGGGATGAAAGTATGATTTGCAGGACTCCCTAATGACTTGGTACAGAGGCTGGATTTTACCCAGACGTTCACAACCTGCTGTTCCCTTCTTTAAGATGTTCTTCTCGTCCTCTCTGCTTTCGCTCAGATGAAGAACTTTGGAGATGGACAGAAATTTCCTGTAAGACATGATTTTTGCAGGAAAGGACAGACTGAAGTGCTGGGACTCACTCCAATAGTCTGATAGTGAAGAGCATCTGAACATGTCCATGTAAATTACCAGCGCTACGTACGACTTCATGTCACTTTGACTAATGAAGTTCCACAACTTGCCCTTTCTCTCTTCGTACTTGGCTGCATAGCTGTTTGTGTAGCCTGCAATGGTCTGAAACATTGACTTTGGGAAAAGGAGCTGAAAAAACTGCAGAGCGCTGGAGCACCTGTTTGGTAGAATCTGAGGGCCAGGATTTTGGTTGGGTGTGAAGACCAGCAGAGGTGGCTCAACGTCTGCTTCATCTGAGCTTTGCCACTTTTCTGTTTCAGTCCAATAGAAACCATTTTCACTTTTCCTGTCGCCTCCTTCAGCAGAAGACAGGCAAAGTCTCTTTCTGTGTTGTGGAGCGTCTTTTGAATCGTAGTCCTCTTCTGGCAGGTAAAGGTCTGATGAAGGCCTACTGCATGGCACAAGAAGAAATCATCAGATAATTTGTTAAATACTTCACAACTAATATGAACTGGTAACCAAAGTCAGGTTAGGCCATAAATTATTATTTTTTGTTTACTTTAAATAATCTTCACAGCATGCCTTCAGGCTTTTTGTATTACTAAATCATACAAATACAATAATAAAACATTTAAAGGTAAAAACCCACCGGTCTAGAATAGGATCTATATCATCAATAAACATGTCTTCTGCTGAGCTGTCCACACTGAATGCCACACTGTCCTGGTCACAGAAATCAAGTTCTTCATCGCTGCTAACTAAATTGCAATCCACATTATTTGTAGCGTTCTTCTTAGGAACCAAAGCAGAAGTGAGAAAACCCTCCATTGCAACTGCTGGAACCACAGGAACTGCTGGAACCATGGTGACTGCTGGAACCACAGGAATTGCTGGAACCATGGTGACTGCTGGAACCACGTTAACTGCTGGAACCACAGTAACAGCTGGAACCATGGTGACTGCTGGAGAAACGGTGACGCCTGGAACCACGGTGATTGTTGGAGCCACTGAAACTGATTTTCGCTGTTGGCATTTAGAGGAGCAAAGAAAGAGTCATTGGAAATCAAAATAACCAACAGACTAGGGTTGTCACGAAACTGGAATTCGATATCAATCCGTACTGAAATTTTAAAAACATCCATTTCCTGCAAACAGTTAAGCGCTGTGGAGCACGTTCTTAAACATTGCTGATTTGCCTTTATGTTCACATGCTCAACAGAAATGACTGATTGGCCCTGAAAGTCATCAGTTTACCGAACTCAGCACCGTTTACTACGTGTAACCACAAAAACACTGGTTTAAAGCTTTGATTCAACAGCGGATCGACGTGACTTTGCAATGCTCCAGTGTTCCTGTATCTGCGGATACATTCAGTAAATTCTGTATCGCTGGGTTTGGTGAACTGATGACTTTCACGACCAATCACAGTCATTTCTGTTGAGCATGTGAACACAATGGCAAATCAGCGCTGTTTAAGAGCGTGCTCCACATAAATGTTTGCAGAAAATGGACATTTTTAAAACTTCAAGACCGATTGGTTTTGAATTCCAGTATCGTGACAACCCTACGAGGAAAAATGACGTTTGCATGTCCGTACCTTTGAATGCATATAAGTTGCTACAGTCTTCCTATTCCTCTTGCCCAAGCCACTGCTCTGTCGAGGAATTGGTCTCTGTAAACAAATATTGCACAATTAATAAAAACCTGCTTTGTAAACAATAAAAAAAATACTAGCATAGCAGGTTAAAGTGCCCCATTATAGTTTCTAAAGGTTGTTTTTTTGATTAGAGCAACTTCCACAATTGGTTTTCTTGCATCAAATTTCACACTTTTTTGTGCCCATCCACTTTTTCATTGACACGGGAAGCCTTTCTTCCATTCATTTTCCCAAGTGTTCATTTAGTGTCAAAAATTATGAATCAAACCAACAACCAAAACGTACCAAATTTGATTTAGAGCAAAAAATAAAAAAAAATATGGGAAAAAATGACTGATCTTTCATAGTGTATGTGAGTAATTACAATAACTAATGAACCGGTATTTTAAAGAGTTGTGTAATAGATTACAGTTGATCTGGGATTTGTTCAGATCACAACCCACGCTTCGAAACACACGGCCAACAGATTAATTCTTAAATTTGTGACCATCGCAGAGAGAGACTGCCGCTCACGTCACTAAAATAATATGTATGAAAGTTTTTTGGCTTTCCTGTTAAATATCATGATGATGGAAGAAGTTGTGGTAGATTTTTCGGGATGTGGTGGGTTTTTTAGGTCATTAAAGGTGTTTTTTTGTCACTACTTGTTTATACTGCATTAATGCATTCAGTATAAGCTGCATAATTAATAGGTAAAAGTTTGGGATCTCAACACCCACGCAACAAATTATAAACGATGGTGATTTGCATATGTTTATTAATCCTAAAAGATTGAGTCTTTAGTGTTTTGAGTTAGTTATGAAGTTACAGTCAAATAGCACAGAAGTACATTTAACACTTTATAGTTCAGATAAAACCACTGATGTTTATGGTAAAGATAATATATATATATATATATATATATATATATATATATATATATATATCACTATAATGAGCATTTAACAATGCTCAAAAATTAAAGTTGTACACAGCAATTATATTATTTAACCAATAGGTGGCAGCCAAAAAAATATGCCACTGAATAATTCTTCAAAAATTACACATTTAGCAATGAAACAAAGTTTTATAAGTGAATAAATTAATTATTTATTAAAAATGAGACTAAATATATATTTAAATATACACTTTATAGATTTAGCGTTATCAGCGTTAACAGTAGTGGTAACAGTGAATTTGTCACAGTACTGAATAATTTAATATTTAATTTTATTTAGCTGACTATTTTTCATTTTATATTTAATAAAATTACAGGTTCTAAGTTATGTTTGTTAAAACTAAAAGTGTCTTGCAGTACTGTTTTTGTAATAAATATAAAGCAAATTACATTTGTCTCTGTCCCTTTTAGGCTGATCCGGAAAATGATTAAATTCGGGACTAAAAAACTATAATGTGATCCGAACCGTGAGATTTTTGATCCGTAACACCACTAGCTGTCAACATAATTTAAATGTAAAGACTTTGAAATAATAAAGACTTATAATGAAGACCTAGAACGTTTAGACTTATTTGAGCTAATCTGACCCACAGCCAGAGATGGCCAGTATTTATGATACAAGTATTTTAAATACGCATTTTAAAAACATAATGGCATTTTGTCATTTGTTTTTGATAATGTTTATAAAAATGGGTTAATATTTTATATTAAAATACTTTAGTGTCTTGTATTTTTAAAATACTGTAAAAAATTTGTAAGAAGTCTACACGATGGCTTGAGTCATAAATCATAAAAATGTGGCCTCAAATATTTACCTAGGCTTGAGATCAGAACAGAAAACTTATTAAAAAGATGTGTAATGCTTGGAGTATGGATGGAAGTTATGCACACAAAAAGAAAATAACAGACAAATGCCATGGGTAAATTTGAGAGCAGACAACAACCATTGAAAATCTCTACTCCATACTCCTCCTGTTACACGGCAGCAGCAGGATGTTTATGAAAAACTGATATCATGTATCAAGTTGAATCAATCGTTGAAGAGTACAAATGAAAAAACATGATTCATGGAAATGACTAAAACTGAAGGTTTTAGTAGTTTTCATAAGCCATGTTTTCACATTAAGTATTGAAGTATAAATTATGTGAACATAAAATTAAAATAACCTCTTTATATATCACCCTTAAGACTGTTAGGAGACTTATTTTCATTTTACATTTTACATATCAACAAGCAGTTGCTGACATAAGACATTTTTATCCTACTCGTAAACCAATATACAGATGGATCAAAAAAGGACAGTCATGTTTCTGCAGCAATAGTAATGGATCAATCACACGGTATTCGCATTACAGATCAAAGCTCAATTATTACAGCGGAAGTAAAGGCTCTCTTTTTAGCTTTAGAACACATTAAAATGCTGAAGGACACAATTTTAGTATTTTTTCTTACTCAAAATCTTGTCACAGACATTGAATTCTTTTAAACTGGAGCATCTCATTATTATCGACATTTGTATTGGAGTGGAAGAACTACAGAGAAAGTTTTATAATAAAGTCTTCAGCTGGATGCCAGGACATACCGAACTACCAGGGAATAAACAAGCCGACAATGTTGCCAAAACAGCCCTAGCAGGAAAGCTGAAGCAGTGTAAAATCCCCCCCTCGGATCCAAAGGCACTAATAAAAGGCTGTATTCTCAACAAATGGCAAACAGAATGGTATCTCTGCCCAGATAATAAACTTTTTGAAATATAACCAGAAATAGGAAGAAAATCTAATTTATTTTTTAAGTCAAGAGATGATGAGATTATGTTTATACAAGATGCCGCATTGGACACACGAGACTCACACATGAAGATTTACTCAAAGGAGATTAATCATCAAAATGTCAATACCAAAACAGAAACCAAACCTTTAAACATATTCTTGTGGAATGCCCCATTTTTAATGTTATCAGACGTTTTTATCTGGAGAGACTTTAAATGAAATATTTCTAAATGTGAATCTATCTAAAATTGTAAAATTTTTATCAAAAGGAAACCTTAAAAACTGTTTTAGATTTTTACTTTGTATATTATCATTATTATTTATGTATTTTACCTTGTATATTAGTTATTGCTGCAGTTGATGACTTTTAATTGTTAGAATATTTTTATAATTATAAAAAATGTGTATTTATAAAACGTGGTAAACTTAATCTTTTTTTTTTTGCCATGACATGGCCATAGAAGCTGAAATGGTAATAAAATTAAAATTCTTTCAAGAAAATACAGCTCCATGCTTAGACCTAACTAAAGTTAAAAACAACAACAGATAATCTGCATTATACTTTACGTGACGGTGGGCACAAAAACTATTACATCGCCACTCGCCAGGTGAGCTCAGGTGTGAACTGTACTCTTTTACATTTAAAAAATAAAATATAAACGTCTGTATTGACATACAACATGTATTGATCAACTAAAGTTATTAATTTCCAACAGTGCGGTGTGAAAAAACAACCTTTTGACATGTTGCTGCTGCTGCAAAACGTCGGTCACCCAGCCCACCGTGACCGCACTTCTCAGGTGACGGATGTGCAGTAACTGTGGTACACCCGTCTAAAAAGACACCGAACAGACACGATTTATTTAAAATAAATCATTTTTAGTCCAAAGTAATATTACTGTAAACTACTTAGTAACTTCAGGCATTTCACGAGGTTGTCTTCAAAAACCAATTGATGTGTAGGAGATACACTTCGCCATGACGCCATCTGAATATTACACTGTGAACTAATTATATTTAACAAAGGTAACGTTAAAAAAGGTGTGCCTTTAAAAACTAGTTACGAGAACTGACGATACTAACTTTGGCATCTAGATAATCATAAACAATGAACGTTGACCACACACTTACCAAATCCGTAGAGACAGGAGAATCAACAGGATGTGGAACAGCGTCTTTCCTTAAAGTGAGTCGAGTAGCAAATCCGGATTTCACCATTTCCAGATTGTTAAAGCTCTCGGGTGAAAAATGTTCCTTACAGACATATTTTTGATTCGTGCTAGTACACCACTGTAATCCAACCGCTTGGATCCATGCGAGAGCTGCGCTCTTATCGCGGGGAAATGGATACAAACCCTTTGTTACTGCACACTTACAAACGCAACAATGACGACCCATGTCTCCTACAATTCTCCTTCTGGTTTGAATTAAGGTTAGCAACGCAACGTTGCGTCTCTCTGAACACTGTAACGCAGGTAAAAGAGTCTTTGCAGCTACATCATGCATATTAATGAAGTTGCATCTCATCCACAATAGAGCTCGCTGATTGGTTCAAACCATTAAGCCTTTCTTATGAATTAATGCACCAATTTGCTGAAAACTCAAGGCGTCACTTTGCACCGCCCCATATAGGCTGGTACAGACATCCAATCTCCATGCTGAAATTTGATCTCAGGGCCACGAACCCCCCTGTCTCAGCAGGGTGTTTTCACACCTCTAGTTTGAAAAAAGTCAGATATTTACATTAGATGTCGCCTAAGCTGTTGTTTTCTATTGGAAGTAATGTGTCAATAGAGCCATCATTTTAGTACAGGGTAGCGCTCCTTTGAAATGAATATGGGACCAAGGTGCAGTGGATGACTGGCCATCTGGAGCCATAGATATATAGACATATTCATTCATTTTATTCTCAGTTTAGTCCCTTTATTAATCCCTTTATTAATCTGGGGTCGCCACAGCTGAATAAACCAACAACTTATCCAGTATGTTTTATGCAGTGAATACCCTTCCAGCCACAATCCATCGCTGGGAAACATCTATACACATTTATGGTCAATTTTAGCATACCCAATTCCCCTGTACCACATGTCTTTGGACTTGGAGGAAACCCACATGAACACAGGGAGAATATGCAAACTCCACACAGAAATGCCAACTGACGGACCCAGTCGAGGCTTGAACCAGTAACCTTCTTGCTGTGATGCGAACGTGCTACCCACTGCACCACTGCGTCACCCTAAATAGATACGCATATATATTCCCTGTGGTTAGTATGCAAATATTTAAATTACAAAAATTATCCCTGCAAAAAAAGTTTTTAATGTAAAAAGTTTTTAAAATATCAACCTCTACCAAATTGTAGATATGTCAATTTATGGTAAATATACCAGAATTAATACATATACTATGAAAAATAAGAAAATATGAAGTATAAGACCAATCTATTTAAAAGCATAATCAAAGTAAAAAAAATTTAATAATAAATCATCTTTATTTTTTTATTAGAAGTATGCCATCAAATGTTTTAGATTCTTATTTAACCTGTATTTAGTTTTATTGTAAATAAACACAAGAGATCAAATGTATTAGTGCAACAGATTTATATTTGTTTGATTTTTTTTGTAAACCGACAAACTAGTTTAAGAGGAGGACGTGATATGATTGAGCATGGCTGGATTCTTATCTGTAACAAGAAACAATTCAATCTGATTGATCCAAGCTTACAATAAATAGATTGATTTTACCCTAATGTCTTATCTTCGTTTTGGAAGAATCCCCCCCTACACCCCATCTCATCGTTTTCCTCCCTTTTCTAAGGGTAGCTCTTGAGACCTACCTGATCTTGGAGCCTTGGCCTTAATTATCTTTGAGCTCATGGTTCTTTCCTGGGACAGCATGCCAAACGTGCTATTAACGCCAAGCATATGTAAGTGTGAACTTTTAAAATTACTAACAGTCTTGATTTAAAACAGTCAAAATATGTTCAGAACATGCAGTTAAAGCAATCTCAGTCCAGAAGGGCCAGTGTCTCTGCAGGGTTTAGCTCCAATTTGCCTCAACACTCCTGTCTTGGTGTTTCAGATATACCCAACACAATCTCATGGCGATTAATAACTTTTTGATTTAGTGGCTAATTTGTATGAACTCATACAATCTAATTCAAACAATTTAGTACGATTTGCTCATCCCCCAATGACGGTTGGGGTTAGGGGTGGGGTTAGGTGCCACGCCTCCTTTTTAAAATCTTACAATTTCGTTCGACTGAACTCGTACGAATCAGCCACTAAACTGGCAAAACGTAAAATACTTACGTTTTCTCGTGAGATCAGGCAAGTATACCTGGTAAGACCTTGATTAACTTGTTCAGGTGTGTTTGATTAGAGTTAGAGCCAAAATCTGCAGGATTTTAAGTTTGGTGATCCCTGAGTTAAAGGGTTAAAAATTGACATCACTTTTCTATATTGATGGATAAGTTTGTGCAAGCAGGCAGTTCGTGCTGACAAAGAGCATGTGTTTGTGTGCATGGAAATGTACTACCCTACATGTACAATATGTGAAAGCCTTGCTTAAATTTTATTATGTTTAAAAAAACTTCAGAACTTCATAAACAGTAGCATGACTCGTGCAGCGTCATCAAAACATAGATTGAATATAAATTTACCAGATTACCGGATGGTTATAAAGTAGTGCATTTAAGTAGTGCGTCTTTCATTCTGTTGTGGTACAATTAAAAGCCGATTTGTCATGACACTATGCAGTTAAAACAATATATTCCATACCAGTAACAAAGACATTGTAATGCACCTTCACCACACTCTGAGTAAACTTACTGATTGTGGTACATTGTCTGTATAGCATGCACATTTAAATGAGGCAATTCAATATTAAACTTGGTGACTAGCAAACTATCAGACACTTCACACATTACAATGGTACCTAGGATGACCCAAAACCTAAAACCCAAAACATTTACATATTAGCATCAAATTCAATGGTGTAACTATTGAGAATGCCACAGGACAATTTACAGGACTATTGGAGTCGCTGGTGACAAAAGTACTTTTATCAAGTGAATACACAAACAGTAACAATATCTGCTTGTTTAAAACATAAAATATGTTTACCAATGGCAATAATGAACATTTATTTTAAAGACTGCATCAGAAATTTGAATTGAATTAAACAATGGCCCGGCTCGCTAGTTTGAGTTTCAATTGTGCCAGGAGGCCTTTCTGTGTATGTTCTTCTCATGTTTGCATGGGTTTCCTCTGGGTGCTCCAGTTTCCCCACAGCCAGACATGCTGTATAAGTGAGTTGGATGAAGTAAATTGATTTATTTTCTATGTGAATGCGAGAGCGTATGGGTGTTTCCCAGTGCTGGGTTGTAGCTTTAAGTGCATTTCGCTGTGTAAAACATATGCCAGAGTAATTGGCGGGACTAAGCCAAGGGATAGTGAGTGAATAGAGTGAATTAAACATGCCTTTTCAGTATATAAGCAAAGTTGATGAATATATCCGATAGGACTATGTGTGGGAAAAACGTAGAGCTGAGGAGTCTGTAGAACAGCATTTGGGTTTACCACGTGTTGTTTTAATGAAAAAGAAACGGTAAGGGAGAAACAGGATGGTGGAAGTAGAAAATAACTTAAAAGCATTTATGGAGGAGAGAGCTTATTTAGTTTTCTCAGTAGTATACATTTTTTGCTTTCCTTTTCTTGTGGGAATAATGGTCAAACTTGGGACAGACAGTCCACTACAACCTTATATATAAACTTCAGTCTTTGTGTAATGTAACTGCGTGAACATAAACAACATCTGTTAATGGATAAAATGCCAACCCAGATGCTCGAAATGTAATGCAAAGGAAAACATTGGCTTTTACAGACTTCTCTTAGCAAAGCCAAAGTCCCTTTCATTATTTTTCATTCATTCATTTACTTTCAGCTTAGTTTTATGCATCAGGGGTCACCACAGTGCAATGAACCACTAACTTATCCAGCATATGTTTTACGCAGTGAATGCCCTTCCAGCTGCAACCCAGTACTGAGAAACACCCATACATTACAAATAACTTAGCTTATTCAATTCACCTATACTACATGTCTTTGGATTGTGGGGGAAACAGAAGCACCCGAAACCCATGGCAACATGGAGAACATGCAAACTCCACAAAGAAATGTCAACTGACCCAGCCGGGACTCAAATTAGCGGCCTTCTTGCTGTGAGGCATCAGTGCAACCACTGAGCATCGTGCTGCCCTTTCATTACTATTATTATTACTATTACTATTATTATTATTATTTGCAGCAGTAGTAGTAGTAATAGTAGTTTAAAGGGGTTGGACAATGAAACTTAAAATATGGGCCAATTTAGCGTTAGAGGTTTCATGGCAAAATTTGACCAGACTGGTGGCCATTCTTCATTTACGGCACCCCATTCCACAAGTAAGTGCTATTAGCCCCATTCCACAAGTATTATTAGCAGAATAATAGCACAGTTTTGCTTAAATTTTATGAGTTCAAAAGAGGACAAACTGTTGGCGCACATCTCGCTGGCACATCTGTGACCAAGACAGCAAATTATTATGTATCAATTAATAGTATCCAGGGTAATGTCAGCATTCATACCACCACGAAGGATGAACCACATCCAACAGGAGTAACTGTGGATGCAAGAGGAAGTTATCTGAAAGGGACATCCAGGTGCTAACCCAAATTGTATGAAAAAAAACACCACAGCTGCCCAACTCACTGCAGAAATACATGTGCACCCAGGAAAGGACTGGGACAAAAAAATTGGCCCTGGCATTTTGGGCCAAAGCGGCCCACTATATACGATCAAAATGCTACCCATCCGTGCACGCCCTTGAATATGTTTACCTACTCCTATTCTATAAAAGCACAAAAGCAATATTTAGGAAATAATGAAAGATGACAAATTAAAAATGTTAAAAATGTAATTTACTATTATAATAAGGTCTAATCCAGATTGGAAGTCCATCTTGTGTGTGCCTGTGTGTTTTGAGGGAGCCTATATTAAATTATAAACATAAAAAGTGCCTGCTGATGCACACAGTTAATGTTGATTAATTAAATAAAATTAAATAATAATAAATTAAATAATAATAAAATAATAATAATAAAATGTGTCAGAGACCCTTAAAAAATGTTTAACTCAACAATGAAACATCATTCATTCATTTTCTTTTCGGCTTAGTCCCTTTATTAATCCAGGGTCACCACAGCGGAATGAACCGCCAACTTATCCAGCATGTTTTACGCAGCGGATGCCCTTCCAGCTGCAACTTATCTCTGGGAAACATCCACACACACACTCATACACTACAGACAATTTAGCTTACCCGATTCACCTGTACCGCATGTCTTTGGACTGTGGGGGAAACCAGAACGCCCGGAGGAAACCCACGCGAACGCAAGGAGAACATGCAAACTTCACACAGATACGCCAACTGAGCTGAGGCTCGAACCAGCGACTCAGCGACCTTCTTGCTGTGAGGCGACAGCACTACCTATTGCACCACTGCTTCGCCCGTAATAAAAATCTTTTTACATGTAATAAATGTATAACAGTATATTCATATTTTACTCAAGCGATTAAATCATGTGTATTTGCTTAATTTTCTAATAACTTTTTAATTAATGATTTCCCACATTTAATACTGTTTATAGTAAGCAATATATTGTTTTAAAACCAAAATTTAGTAATAGAAACAAATTAACTATTAATAATTAATAAAAAAAGATAGTCAGATAATCAGTTAAGATAATCAGTTTATAACTAGGTCTATATTATATACTGTTAAAATGATTAACTATTGTAATTTATTTTAATGTGACACATTATTGTTTGCTTTTTATATTTTATAACAAAGTGGTTTTAACCAAGTATGATAATATTAAGATGCTGAATTAGTTTATTACACTTAAATTAGACGATCTATTATGTGTTCTTTGTGTATGTGGACACATAAAGTCATAAGTGTCTTTAGCCAATCATTTTTATTTACATAATTTGAGTTCAGAAACTGCAGAGATGTTAAAATGATCGTTACGATATAATAATAATGACTGAAATAAGAAACCATATTTGTGAAATTCAATAGTTGGCGATAATGCTAAGGAGTTAGTTAAATACCATATATCGTTTGCCTAAATCGTGTGTGCCTGAAACGTGTGTGGTTCTGCAGTTCTGATCTCCTAAAGGCCTTTCAACTCGTAAAGCGACCAGAACTGTGAACATTTAAAACAGCTAAACTCCTCTTCTAATGCTAATCTTTTTTCTTTTTGTTATTTTGTCACACGTTATGCTAAATGTGTAATATTGTAAGAATTGTTATGCACTTGAAAATGTTCAGAAAATACAAAAAATAAATAAATAAATAAATAAAAAATAAAAAACACACACATTTCTATCCAGCATGCATCCTGCGGTGATCACCGGTGATCAGTTCTGCACAGATTTTGGCCATCTCAAACGAGCCATAATTTACTTTTTATGATTTACAATAATAAATCATTTTGAACTTACACTTATATTCCTAATATCTATCTGAGCAGTTAACACTGTACAAATAATTAACTTAATTAAGAATTGCGTTTGCATTGCTTGAGCCACTAATAGAAAATATCTGAGCGATTTTTTTATTTACTTTAATATAATTAATTCCTAAACAGCTGTCAAGTCAGTTCTTGTCAAATTAAAACTGCTCATTTACCTTTCTCACCAATTACAGTTTCGTGAATAATACATTAATTCATTTAAATTTACTATTATTATTGTTGTTAAATAATTAATATTTATTATAAATATCATTATTATTATTAAATATTTTATATTATTTATATGTTGAGTTGAGATGTATCGTTGTTTACTCACGTGATTCAGAGTGGTTACTTTAGCAACGCGTGTTATGATTTGACTCCATATATAAACACCGAGACTCGCCGCTATCTGTTGATTGAGGAGAGGCGAATTTCTGAGACATTTGCTGAGGATTACTGTGCTGATACTGCGATTCTTCAAGGAGACCAGAGAATTTCTGACAGAAGACTTTTATTTTACAAGGAGATCGACGCTCAGAGCTGAAATATTTCCTTTTGACACGTTTTGTTGCTCTTTTGTTGTGTTTATTTTGATTTTGATCTTGTTTTTATTGTTTTATTGACATTTTTATTGATATTTGATCTTTGTTCTTGTTTTCAGGTTTGCTGGAGTTTGGAGGAGTTTGTCAGATGGGTGAAAACCGCAGTGAGTGTTTTAGTTTTTATTTGTTTATGATCAATCATGATATGATGTTGTGTAATGTTTGGGGAAATGTGATGTAAATAAACTGGTACAAATGAACCCATTTCAACACAACTGTTCCCCGATATAAGTGATCAGATGTCTTTTATTCTCTGTAGATGCAGCTACTAAAGTTAATTGTTGATTAATTCTTATAATCTTATGATAAACGTGATATGTTGTTGTTGTTGTCGTTGTCTCAGGCCGCTCCAGATCCAGGAGTTCTGCTTTCATCCAGGCAGCTGTTCAGGACGTCAGGACACATGATGGTGATGGTGAAACCCAGACCGTGAGCCAAGAGCTTGATGGATTTCTCGCACCTCTGCCTTCCCTGTTGGCCAAATCTGTGTCCACAGATCAGGGTAACAGGAAGAGGAAGCGGCAGAGCGGCAGCCAGCAAACACCAGAAGATGAACGTCCGTCCACCTCATCTAGAAGAGCTCTCAAACGCTCTCGCAGAGGTCAGAATGGCTTATTGAAGAAGTGATGATGATGTTTCAGTAATGCTCTTTTACAGTTTTCTCTACTGCTGCATGTTTTCTTTGAACACACATTTCTACTGCTCCTCTTTGTTGCAGACGCGTATGCAAAGGGCCCACTGCTGGGAGACGGTGGATTTGGCTCTGTGTTTGCTGGGATGCGCAGGTCTGATGGACTGCCAGTAAGTCGTTTTCTCCGCTCTTCATTCAAACAGCCTTTAGAAATCCTGATCTCAGTAAATGTGATGTGTGAGGATCAGGCAGGTGTGATTTATTATGCTTTATCTGTCTACAGGTCGCCATCAAGTATGTGTCTAAAGAGCGGACACAGAGGAGACTGAGAGTTGTGAGTTCAGTGTGAACCTGTTGTTGTGTTTGATGTTTCATTGGGTTCTGAATCCAATCGTTTGTCCTGCAGGAAGGTCAGGGTCGGCTGCCGCTGGAGGTGGCACTGATGACCCGCGTCAATTCAGCTCCTGCCTGCCCCAACGTCCTGCAGCTGCTTGACTGGTTTGACCGTCCCAGACGCTACATCCTGATCCTGGAGCGTCCGGATCCCTGCCAAGACCTCCAGAGCTACTGTGAGGAGAACGACTGTCTGGATGAGGGTCTGGCCAAGAAAGTGCTGGTGCAGCTGATCGCGGCTCTGAAACACTGCGAGAGCCGCGGAGTCCTGCACCGGGACGTCAAGCCAGAGAACCTGCTGATCTCCACAGAGTCCCAGGACATCAAGCTGCTGGACTTCGGCTGTGGAGATCTGCTCAAGCGCTCGGCCTACAAATACTTTGCAGGTGGGTTTGTGTTGCAGAAGGAAACACTCTGTGGATGTTTGTGAGCTTTTGATGATCCACCAAAGGGAATTTGTGTGTGCTGGAGTGTTTTGAACGGGTGTTTGTGTCTCCTTGTGTCTCTCAGGAACTATTCAATACGCTCCACCTGAGTGGTTCTGCAGACAGCGCTACCATGCGGGTCCAGCTACGGTGTGGTCAGTAGGAGTGACCCTCTTCAACATCCTGTGCAACCGTTTCCCCTTCGGAGGCTCACTGAGGGTCACGTCCAGGAGCAAACTGACCTTCCCCATAACTCTGTCAACAGGTAAGAGACTCACTGAGAGATCAGCAGAAGTGTGTTGCTCTGTGTTTCTGAACACGGTGTTGTGTGTATCAGAGTGCCGTCAGCTGATTGGCTGGTGTCTCAGTCCAGCGGCGGCTGATCGGCCCAGTTTGGACGATATTGAGCGCCATCCCTGGTTACAGTGAACAGGTGGCCAGTGACTTGACACTTATCTGAGTGACGCACTCATGGCTTTGATTGTGTTGTTAGGGTCAGTCTGGATTAATGATCTTAATGATTTGTGTAGGGTGAGCAGGAGTCACACAGGAAGTGCAGAGAACTGCTTCCTGATCACCTGCAGAATGAGGAGTGGGCATTAACTAATGGCCGACTCACCCAGGGCCGGGGCCCCTTTACCTGCACTAAGCCACCGCTTCAGATGACTTTAATGTTAATAGGGATTTTAATAATAAACGTATTATTTAGACAAATAATCCAGGTGTAGTGTCTTCCTAGAGTGACTGGAGAGAGCTCAAATAAAGGGAGAGTTCACACAGAAATCCAGATTTACTCACTGTTTACTCAAACTCAAGCGGTTTCAAATCTTTAAGAGTTTCTTGTTTTCTGTTTTGCACAAAATAAAATGTTTTGAAGAAGCTGAAAACCTGTAACCGTTGACTTTCATAGTAGCAAAAACAAACAAGTCAATGGGTACAGCTTTTCAGCTTTCTTCAAAATATCTTCTTTTGTATTGAACAGAATAAAGAAACTCAAACAGGTTTGGAGCAAGTGAAAGGGAGTTAATGATACAGAATTGTTATTTTGTGGTGAACTATCCATTTAAGAGGACCAATGGAGGTTTCATCTGTTAAAATGGAGATTGCATCTCTGCTGACTGAGGGTAAAGGTGTGATGAAATATTGTTTAGGTTGTTAAATGATCATATATAGGGTTATAATATATTGTTGTTGGAGTTTTTGTGGTAAAGTGCCTACATTAGCAGTTAATCTTCTGAAATGGTGTACACATCTGAACTACTTTTTTAATATTATAGGGCTAATACAGGATTGTTCAGAGCTCTGTTAGATGCACATTTGCATTCTACATTTCTGTTGTTGTAGCAGGGAGATGTTTGTTTTATCACATGAAAAGAGTTTAAGAACTTCAGTTTTAGCTGGGAGTACTACTGCATATGCACTCATGTGATTGGCTTAAATTATATTAAACTGAGAGACCCAGAAACAACACTGAGTCCTTTCTGAAACTGCAAGTCATGCAGATGCCAGAACATTGCCATTAACTCTCTTTTGAATCATATTTCTACTAAAGAACAATGACTTTAGTTTACTCTACTTTACATTCTGCTGGTTCTGACATTAGAATAAATACTGAAGTCTGAACTCTGAGCTCTTTCATTCCTCTGCCTTTGTTGCTGTGTGGAAGGCATGTCTAATGAAGCATAACACACTTCATCACCAGCCTGAAACAGAATATATTTAATTACATTAATAAACAAATAAATAAATTATATTATATTATATTGATGTAATTTATGTTGCTGCCAATCAAGTGTGAATAAAATATATATACAAATTATGCTCAAAATGTGCTCATACCTCAACATGTCTGTTTTCAGCTCCAGAACCTACAGCAAATTATCAAAACATAAGAATAATTTACATTTGGTTCTCTCAAGGTTTTTTTTCTTCACTCCCATCAGGTGAAGTTTTTTTTCCCTCTCCGCTGTCGCCACTGCCTCGCATGGCTCAGGATTGGTAGAGCTACGCATCGATGAATTGGCTCTTCAGTGTTTGAACTTTCAGTAATGATTAAATCATACTGAACTGAGCTAAACTGAACTGAACTGAACTGAACTTAAAGACTAAAACCTGAACCACACTGTTCCAGTTACTATGACCATTTATGTGAAGCTGCTTTGACACAATCTACATTGTAAAAGCGCTATACAAATAAAAAAGCTGAATTATGAAATCTAAGGCAGGCAGTCTAAGGCCGTAATAAAATTTAGCCACATGAAAAGTATTCAGGAGTAAACAATGACCTGTAGTTTTCTTCTGACAGAGGCAGTAGACGCAGATGGAGAAGAGGAGAACACACACCGAACACACACTGAACAGCAGATTCCAGCAGAAAACACACTCTGATGCAGGTGATGTGGAGGTGCTGTTAAACTGTTCAGCACAAGGAGACTCTTGCTCTAAAATGAACAACAGGCCATTATTAAAGTGAATATATATTTAGTTATTATATTCATTTTATTTTATCTTTACTGATTACACACAATAATGAAAAATATGAGTTTAACACTGATGAATTTGCTAAAAGTGGTTGGAAAATCAATAGTTAAAGATTCTAATGTAAAATACACTATAAATCATCGTTTTACAAAATATAATGAATTTGCTGTTAATTTAATTTAAAGTATTATTAGAAACTAAGATACACTTTAAAAACTAATTATAAACACTTATTTTACTAATATACTTTATTAAATATACATTATTTCTGTATTTGAAGTTGGACTATGGACTATGCAGGATTGTGTCACTTATTTATTTGCAGAACTTTAAATAATATTAAAATAATAAAGCTTTAGGTGAACATGTAAACTTATCATTAAAGCACAGCTATATTATGAAGAGGTAAACTATAAATGACACTATTATTATAATAAATGACACTATAATTTACACTGTAGATGTTTGCATGTCTCTTCATCGGCTGTATTAGAAACACATTTAAAGGATCTGACTACACAAAACAAAGCAATGAAAACAGCAGTCGTTTCTCACCCAGGACAGACAGTCTGCTCGTCTTGTTTCCATATTCATACTCAATGTTTGGTTTGATTCCTCGTTCATCTTTATATATTTTTGTTTCTCTTTTCCCACAGTAGTAAAGTCCCTCATCAGAGACACTGACATTCTCTATATGCAGATCATAGGAGTTACTGGAGCTGTTGGGCACAAAACTGAAGCGTGGAAACGTCTCCTTGAAGAGTGTTGAGCGATCTATTGACAGAGATGGCTGATTCTCATGTGAGCAGTTTCTCATCCAAATAATGTCTGATCCAGAAGGTAAAGCGCAGTAGAGAGTGACGCTTTCTCCTGGTTTAACTCTCATGTCCACTTCTGTCCCAAACACTTTCTGCTCTTCACACAACAAAACACCTGCAGAACAAACGCAAGAGTGTGTGTTAAATCTCTAGCACATCATCAAGAATACATCATGACATTCAAACACAGAAATATTGACTCACACAGAAGTATGATGACTGTTAGTCTCGCTCGCTCCATCTGAGACTGTGAATGTGAGGGTCTTCAGCTGCAGTGTGAAGGGTCCGCTTCATTGTGGTGGGAGGGATCTCTGTGGAAGAGCTCTGAATCTTTATGCTGTTGTTTTGTTTTTAGGGGTATAATCTGGTCTGCTCCTTTAAACACACTTTTAAAGCTCTTTTAGATGTTCAAGTTTAATTATAAAATGCAAGAGTGAACTCAGTTTCATAAATTGTTGGGACTTTTGTTTTGGACGATGTGATGTTTAATGTTGTAATGGAGATGACCTGAAGTGTTGAGCTACTTCATGAGTTTCTTGTTTGGCATCGTTCATCTACATGCTGATTGTTTTCTTTGGCTTCTAAACCTCCAGAATGAATGTCTTTACTCAAGGTTTCTTTTGCTCTTGGTCTTTAAAAGTTGCTAGAAACTTATTTTTGCTTTTGTCTGTGACCGCAAAGCTTTCCATTCCATTTGTGTACTCTATACAAGCTCAAGTCACAACTAGTGCACTGACACAATCACGAGGCTGTGGTTTCCTGTTTTAGCTTGTCTAAAAATCCCAGGGTGAAACAAGAGCGATCATGATCAGTTTTATTATATCAGTTTAATATGTGATTGATTGATTGATTGATTGATTGATTGATTGATTGATAAAGTGTTTGTGCTAGTATGGTGGCCCTGGTGATAATCTACAGACACTTTAGTGTTAAATGAATAATGTGTATCAGAGTTACAGTGTGTATGTGATCAGTGTGGATTTGACATGAAATGTGAAATTTACTAAATTGTAAACTCATAATCTGAAAGTGAAAATATAAAATATATTTTTTAACTTGATCAAAACTCATAAATACAGAGACGTAAGCATTCACAAGAGGACAGTGACAAAGGCCACTGGAAACATTTGTGGTTTGGGTCGTACCCTAGAAAAGCAAAGAGCAGGCTGGACTCTCTCCATCACCATAACTAGCACTTCAGTCACACATGAAAAGCGCTTCTCACATCCTGTGGCATTTAACAGAATAACTCCAGCACTAAATGACTACAGTACATTTCTACATCAGTCTACTGTAATGATGGCTGAGTTCAGAATCACATACTGTACTTTCCTACAGTATAGGACAGATGGAAACAGGATTTCTAGGGCAGAATCTTGACAACATTAATGCTTGTTCTTTTTTTATCATTTATGATCAAGTAGCCTGGGTGAAATATTAAGCTAATATTGTATTTAGTACTGCTCATCTGTATATTTTACACACTATACATTTGATTTGTCATAGTTTTATGCCGTTTACCTCAAAGAACAGCAGAACTTTGTGTACCAGTTTTTAGCTTGAACATGTGTGTGTTTACAGTAACTTTTATTATTTATTATTATGAGCGCAATCCCACCAGTTTATGATTGAAGTAAAGTTTTAATCCAATCTTACTTAAATCTGTACACATTAAATTTATAGTTTATTGTTGATGTTGTTTTGTTTTTGTTGAATAAAAAAAGAATAAATCTGTAAAGAACCGGTAAGACTTTTTATTTCTAATACAGAGCACAGAATCATAAAAACTATCATCATCAGATAAACTGGACTGATTTTATTAAGTGTAATAATGTTGATACATCCCTGAACACAATCTAGTAATGAAGGTAATGCACACGGTTTAAATATTAAGAAACAATCATTAAAGTTTCACTCAAAAAAAATATAACTCTACTGAAGTTTTCATTAAATTGCTTATTTCTGAAAACTGACCATTGTTTCATCTCATGCCATGTTACAATGAACTGGTCCTGATAAATTCATTTGTGAATAAGTGGTTTTGAAGTCCCTTCAGCTATTAGCCACTAGATGAAGCCATTGTTCGTTCATGACTCCCGTTTCAATTTTTATTCATGTTCATAAACGCTACTAACTATTAAATATTTGTTTAATATTTGAAAAAAAAGTGATCATTCATGATTAAAAATTTACATCCAACTTTCTTTTGAGATATGCAGAGGATCTACAGATACAAACATTTGCAGCCTGAGCTGTTATTAATAGTGTTTTTTGTTTGTTTGTTTTCTTAATGAACACAGTCTTAAAAACATTAATATTGTCTAAAAATAAAATGTATAACCCTTAAGAGTCAGTGGATCATAATGTTCATTTAAAGACAGTTGATTGTAATAGATAATGTGCTGTAAATAAAACTAATGATATCAGAAATAAGACAGAAAGTAGACTAAGAGCAGTTCATGTGTCAGATGTTGGTGTAGGGATGTTTAGATGTCAGTCGTCTATAAGAGACTTCAGTGTGGACGCAGATCTTTCCAGTCTTACTCGCCTCACACTGATGTTTCTCCACACAATCTGCCTGAAATGATTCACAAGGAGAGAATGGATCATATAAACTAGTGAAAAACCACATCAGTCAACAATTCATCTTTGATATGGTCAATAAAAGAGTATAAAATAGTTACCATCAAAACATTTGCTTTAAGAATCTCAGCACTCATGTCAAAACCTAAAACACACACAAAATGAACGTGATTAATATACTGTAGTAATTTATAGGAAATACTGTAGTGTTTTTGAACTATACTATAGTAAAGGACTTGAATTAATCTGTTGTGGTAATTCTATAGTTTCTGTGGTAATGCAGCAACTATAGTAATGTAAACAAACCAATACTGTACTAAATACAACTATAATCCACAGTTTACTATAATAAAAACCAAAGTATGCTACAGTATTTGTCTCAGTTGATCAGTTCAGTAGTTAATACTATATTCTGCTCCAGCATTCATTAACAGTTTAGTAAATACTATAATATACAGTACAGTATAATACAATTTACTGTAGAATGGGTCAAAAACACTCCAGTATTTGCTATAAATTACTGTATTTTCTCATGTGGAAAAGTCTAATAATTACGATTAGAGTCAAAATGTTAAAAGCTAAAAGAACGAAACTTTAAAAAATCTCTACAGATTCACAGATTTGTTCAAAATGAATGTAAACGTGTCGATGAGCTCTACCTGTAGTTTGAGGACGACAGAAGCAGTAAACACAGATGGAGGACAGGAGTGAGGAGAAGAGAACACACACCGGACACACACTCAACAGCAGCGTCCAGCAGAACACACACTCTGACACTGGAGGAGAAGTGGAGGCGATGGTGGACTCATGTGCAGAAACTGCTGATAAATAAAACACACAAGACTGAATAAACAAATGAAGAGTTTCTGAAGCGTCCATAACATTTAACTTTAGAGGACATCGTCTTATATATTATTTACAGAAATTATATAAGAACAACTTTTCTATTTTAATGGCATTAATCAGTTGTTGAAGGAATTAATCTAAATTTTGTCTTTAATTTTTCACTTTCCATTTGCTCAAACCATGAGTTGAACACAAAATAATATTTTAAACAAACATTTCAGGACTCCCATTAATTTCCATAGTCAGTCAGTGGAAACCAGAAACCACTCAGGTTACCATCATTTATCAAACTATCTGATTCTGTTATGCATGTCTATCTTGAACTAATAGACAAAACAGGATTGAAGAATTTTAGAGAGAGTGAGAGATAACAGATCAGAATTATTAGAATTAGAAATGCTGAATTACCCCTACTTTATGATTATTTATATTAGATTTAGATTTCAGACTCACGGAGAAATTCTCAATCACACTGAATTTACCAACATGCATCAAAGCTTTAGATGAGCCACAGCAGGAATTTCTCCTCACCCAGGACAGCTAGTCGAGTTGTTTTGTTCCCATATTCATACAGATATTTTGAGTTGACGCCGTCTTCATCTATAAATGTCTTTTTCCTTTCCGCACAGTAGTAAAGTCCCTCATCAGAGACACTGACATTCTCTATATGCAGATCATAGGAGTTACTGGAGCTGTTGAGCAGAAAACTGAACCGTGGAAACGTCTCCAGGAAGAGTTTTGGAGGATCAATGAACAGAGATGGCTGATTCTCATGCGAGCAGTTTCTCATCCAGACAATGTGAGATCCAAACGGTAGAGCACAGTCACAGTAGAGAGTGACGCTTTCTCCTGGTTTAACTCTCATATCCACTTCTGTCCCAAACACTTTCTGCTCTTCACACAACAAAACACCTGCAGAACAAACAGGTGAAAGAACTGACGTCATGAAGAAAACAGCACAACATTTACAACACTAATGAGTGGACTTACACAGAAGTATGACGACTGTTGATCTCTCCATCTCAGTGACTGCTGAATGTGAGGGTCTTCAGTGTGGTTAGCTGCTCTTATCTGACTGGATGACTCTCTCTGGTGGTGGGATGGGTTTCTTCTAAAGAGTTTTGATAAAGACTGAAAATGATCTAGTCTAATTATTCACAACCAGGTTTTAAAAAGAGATTTATTTATTGTTTCATTTTTTGCAATATTTATGCAAATGGATGATTAACAGACATACATGCACATGTGCATAAGAATGTTCTCGCTTGAGGCATGTCTACGTGTCAAAACCACAAAACTCTGCAAAAACTGCACACAATGCACATATATAATAGCACTGCTGTGGTTTCCTGTGTTTCTTACAAGCAAAGAACTTACCTTAAAGATAAGAAGATTACAAATATGGTCGTCCTGTCTGATAATAATGGGGTCTCATTTAAACAATTTCAAAATTGTATAAAAACTTTATTATTACTACCACCACCACTGTTATTCTTACTATTATAAAGTATTATATTAGACAATTGACAATAACGATAGACAGGAATGAATGGATGGACGGATGGATGCAGATGTACACACATTCTGGACTGTCACAAAGGGACATTTGTGGTTTGACCTTGCATTTCTTGAGAAACACAGAGCAGGTCTGAGTCTCTTCAGAAACGCTTCTTGAAATTAACACTGCTTTCACACAACAAACAACCGCTTACATCCTGTGGCAGCTGAGGCCCACTTTACCACTAAGTTTTCTTTAATCTGTTGCACAATAAATGAAATTGACCTGAAAATCTCTAAAACCTTTCAAGGGCCTGTCAGAAATGAGTACTTGTAATCTGTAAAATGATTGTATCAGCTTTAGAAACGCCTCAACTAAGATATTTAATTCACATATATGGACACACAAAAGTTTATTTTGGACCACTTGCTATTTTAGGTTCTGAACATTTTCATGCTTGTGCTCACTTGAACACTATTAAGGAAGAAACCTTCAAAAACAATGAATAAATAAATAAGCAAATAAATAAATAAATGAGTAAATGAATCCATAAATTCCTGCATAAGTAAAACAATAATTCAATAAGCAAATAAGTAAATGTATAAAAATCCACAAACTTCAGCATAAATAAATACATAATTAATTAATAGTGCGAGCTAATAAATAATAAAAATCAATTACACAAATGTTGGGGGAATTTATTTTCAAACATTTATTCATAACATAATCCTGCATTTACTTTATTAATATATATATATATATTTGTGCAGGATTGTGGATTAGTCTGTTTATATATTTATTGTTTTATTTATGAGTGTCACGGTGGCGCAGTGGGTAGCATGATCACCTGACAGCAATCATCCTGACAGTTCGGCGACTGGTTTTTAAACTCATGCTTCAGTCAGTGCCTTTAAACCAATTAGAAGCGTTTACAGTAAAATAAACCTGATCTTAAAGTCTGCTATCTAAAACAGCACAAGTAAGATAATAAACCGTTTCAGACTAGACACAAATCTTCAAGCTCAACAACTCAGACAAAATCAAGTGTTTGCTCTCAAAGCCAGAGTTACAGGAGATGAGGTAAATGGGGTGGGGGTCAGGGGGTCAAGTCAATCATTTATACAGCGCATCAGGATTAAGATCAGTGGTGGTTGTTGCTAGAGCGGATACGTTTGCGGCCGGAAGTTAACGCGAATTATTTCTATTATTTATTAAATTTCTCATTTGTTGTATTTTAGTAATGTAAAAACTGTAGTTGTACCGAGTATTAGTTATGTTATCTATTAAATTACCCAATAAAATGTATTTTTTAACGCCTACCCCCACCCTAACCCCAACCCTCACAGTACTGTAAAAATATTATTGTTTTACAGTGTCATAAAAAAATGCTGTTTTATTAATGTGCATATCGCACTTCCGGCCAGCCGCATATCCAATCTAGACCATCAGGGTGGTGCTCAACCTGTTCCTGGAGATCGACCTTCCTGAAAGTTTAGCTCCAACCTTGATCAAACACACCTGAACCAATTATTTAGGACATGAACAGCACTTGATAATTACAGGCAGGTGTGTTTGATATGAGTTGCAACTTAAATCTGCAGAAAGGTCGATCTCCAGGAACAGGGTTGCACGTCTGATGTATATTGTGTTGATTCTGCTTTACATGGACGAATAGGAAAAAGGATCAACAACATTTTAATTTGTAGGATGTTTTCAGCATATCATGATATAACGTTATATTCGTAATAAACCTTTTCAGTTCTGCCATGCTATGAAAGTTACTGTTGCGTGATTTTGTTCTTAAAGGGATAGTTCACCTAAAAATGTACTCATCCTTCACTTGTTCCAAACCAGTTTGACTTTCTTCTGTCAAACACACAAAAAAAGCTGTAAACCTGCAACTGCTGACTCCCATTGTAGGAAAAGCAGGTACTATGGATGTCGGTGGTTACAGGTTTTCAGCTTTCTTCAAAATACACTGCTCAAAAAATAAAGGGACATTTAAACAACAGAATGTAACACCAAGTGTCCTCTTTGTTATTTTTAAAGAAGTATATATTTAAACAAAAGAAAGAAACTCATAAAGGTTTGAAGCCATTTAAGGGTGTGTAAATGTTAATTTTGGGGGAAATTATTCCTTTTAATGAGACCTCTGTGAAATTCACAGTGCAGTACATTCAGAAATGCCCTCCATGTGGTTTTTATGTCAGTTATCTTTATTATTTTTATTTATTTATTTTTGTATAGTGTCATTAGAAAACAACAGTTTACACTTTAACATTATTTGCCCAATTAGTGAATATAAAACATTTGTTTGCACAAGACGTCTTTGACCAGCCAGTGCTCCAGATTTAATCTCACCATCACCATGAATAAACGGAACAGGGACTAAATCCAGAAGATCTTTTAAAAACCTGCCTGAAAAAAAAAAAATCTTGCATGTGTAAGACAAAAGCTGCTAAAAAAGAATGGCCACACCAAATGTTGATTCAAGCTTAATTATAAATAAAGTCAATTTACGGCTCTATTTAAAGCATCATTCATAGCACGTCTACACAAGGACATAAAACTATATACAATACTTTTACAGGAAGATATCTTGTAGGTGTTGTTTTGTTCTTATAGGCATTTTCACCTCAGCTTCAATCAGCGAATGCACAAACTTAAAATGTAATAAACCCAAATTTAGATTTCACTAGACATGTACCAGTGTACTGCATCATATTATTTTTATTTATGGGCTTCAACTGGCAAACTGTAAGATTTTTATGGGACTATTTAAGACTTTCAAATTGTACAATAAATGTAGCTTTAGTCACCAATCTGTATTTAATGTGTAAGCAAAAAGGGCAAAATTCCATTCTTAAAATATCTGACTTAAACATGGGCTAATTTGCATAAAATTAAAACTAAATGCAATTTATTTAGCTGAAAATGTGTGCACACTAAAACATTTTTTTCTTTTTCCATTAGTAGTAGATTTCTGTATAAATGTTCTTGCAGTGTGGCAGAATTTCTTAATTTAAGTAAAATCTTTTATTACTTTTGCTAGAACTAAAAATGTCTGTTGAAGAATAAAATAAGTCAACATCCTGAACATCCAGTGTTAGCTCAAAATCACCTCCTGGCCAAAAACAAATCCTGATTTAACCAAGGGAAACATTCCTTTGGCCAGTACATGCTTTTAAAAGGATGTTAAAATGACTCCAAATGAACATGTGGAGATGAACATAAAACGTAGAGCAAGCAAAGCCATTCAACACACATTTATTCAGCCTTTCAATACAACAAACAAAACATTTAATTTCAAATCAAGGCAAAATATAAATGCAAAAACACCTTTTACATTTGCTTCAAGAAGACTTTAAGCCGTCATTAGAATGGTCCATCTCAGGCTGAAAGAACATCATCATATCATGTCATACATGACTGGAGGAAACACTTTCTCCCAGCAGCGCTGTCAGCATGACCTGTGGAATGTAGTTGAGGATTATCCTGATGAAGAGAGAGTCAAGGGAACTGCTGCAGAATCCAGACTATCTATATCTGTAAGCTCTAAAATGAGGGCTTGCAAGAACGCTTTTCGTGTTAAAGGCTTCTTGCCGTTTCCCTTGGTCACTAGTTCCTGCATGATGAAGGCATTCTCTACAGCGATGTCCAGAAAGTGATAAAACATGCATTGATACCACTTTTTGGGTTTATGTATGGCTCTGAAATGTTCAGTGATGCAATCAGATGAATCCACTGCTTCCATGTTCCTGCATAAAGACAAAACAAAAGCATATGTCAAAATCTAAAACATCTGTCTGATCAACAATAAGACAATAAGGAAGATCTGTGTAGAAGGCCTGCCACCACAGCTGGAAAAAATCCTAGAGGAAACACTGATATTACTTACTTGCTGTAGTCCAGCACCACAGCTGGAACGGGGATCTCCTCAAGAGTTCGATGTGCATCCCGCCTCACCTTCCTCTGCACAGTATCGCCTTCATAGGCTTTATGGAATGAAGAGCACATCTGCACCTCCTTGGAGTCTTTCCACTCAACAAACAGCAGCTTGTCTTGTCTAATCCAACGCATGGTGCCACGTGGAGCATTCGATAACAGCTTGTTCTTAGCTGATTTTGGGTAACCGGTCCTGTTTGGCCAAACAGGGCCACAAGCCAAGACCTTTTTGTCCAGAAGGTCTGTAAAGAGTGTGGGGCTGGTGTAAAACTTGTCTACAAACAATTTGTACCCAGAACCCAACATATTCTCATCCACTAACGCCATCACAGTCTCATAGCTTAATCCCTCGCTCCGTGACGCACACGACTTCCCCTCGTAAACAAAGAAGTCCCACGTATAGCCGCAGGTGCAGTCTGTCAGTGCGAAGAGTTTGAACCCCATATTTGGAGATCTGCTTTTCAGGCTTTGTTTGAGTCCAGTTCCAGCCTGTGGTTTGACCATTCGTTCAACAATGGTGATGTTCTGAAAGGGATGAAAGTATGATTTGCAGGACTCCCTAATGACTTGGTACAGAGGCTGGATTTTACCCAGACGTTCGTAACCTGCTGTTCCCTTCTTTAAGATGTTCTTCTCGTCCTCTCTGCTTTCGCTCAGATGAAGAACTTTGGAGATGGACAGAAATTTCCTGTAAGACATGATTTTTGCAGGAAAGGACAGACTGAAGTGCTGGGACTCACTCCAATAGTCTGATAGTGAAGAGCATCTGAACATGCCCATGTAAATTACCAGCGCTACGTACGACTTCATGTCACTTTGACTAATGAAGTTCCACAACTTGCCCTTTCTCTCTTCGTACTTGGCTGCATAGCTGTTTGTGTAGCCTGCAATGGTCTGAAACATTGACTTTGGGAAAAGGAGCTGAAAAAACTGCAGAGCGCTGGAGCACCTGTTTGGTAGAATCTGAGGGCCAGGATTTTGGTTGGGTGTGAAGACCAGCAGAGGTGGCTCAACGTCTGCTTCATCTGAGCTTTGCCACTTTTCTGTTTCAGTCCAATAGAAACCATTTTCACTTTTCCTGTCGCCTCCTTCAGCAGAAGACAGGCAAAGTCTCTTTCTGTGTTGTGGAGCGTCTTTTGAATCGTAGTCCTCTTCTGGCAGGTAAAGGTCTGATGAAGGCCTACTGCATGGCACAAGAAGAAATCATCAGATAATTTGCCAAATACTTCACAACTAAAATGAACTGGTAACCAAAGTCAGGTTAGGCCATAATTAAATCTTTTTTTTTTTTTACATAAAGTTTTAATAATTTTTAAACAGTTTAAATAATCTTCAAAGCATGTCTTCAGGTTTTTCGTATTCTTAATCATACAAATACAATATTAAAACATTTGAAGGGGAAACAAAAACCCACCGGTCTAGAATAGGATCCATATCGTCAATAAACATGTCTTCTGCTGAGCTGTCCACACTGGATGCCACACTGTCCTGGTCACAGAAATCAAGTTCTTCATCGCTGCCAACTATGCAATCCGCATTATTTGTAGTGTTTTTCTTTGGAACCGAAGCAGAAGCATGAAAACCCTCCACTGCAACTGCTGGAACAACAGGAACCAATTTTCGCTGTTGGATTTTAGAAGAGCAAAAAAAAAGTCAGTAGCCGCATTTTTCACTGTCAGGCTAGTGCGAGCTAGGTCTATTATCGGGTCGAGCGTATAGCACAGGAGCTTGAGCAGTAAGCTGAAATCAGGTCATGTTTCCACTCTAAGGCCAATAGCTCGCAGCTGAAGAAGTCGGATTTCTACCTTCCAATCCATCTCAACAAATCAATGTTTATCCTTTTTCTCAACATCCTATTTCTCATCACTTTCATTAACTATAATTATTTGAATGAGTATTTAACTTTGAACTGATTTAACTAATGAATAAGTTAACACACAGCTTAAAGTAAGAATGTTCAATGTCCTTGCTCCTCTCTTTGCCCGTCTATTTTAACTTTGTTTTCAGGAGACACACAAAAACCAGGTCATAGGTCATGGAGACCTCTCTCTCTCCCTCTGAACGTAATTACCGATGCAGATGAGAAGACACCCGTTCTATTTGTCCTGATATTGTCTAGAGTAATTTAGCTGTTTGATTGATCTGTTTTGATTGTTAATTCTTATTAAAGTAATTCCATTTGTATGTAGATAGACACTTTGTGTAGTAAGGATATTGTAGCAGACTGTTGATGGAAACAGTCTTGAACCACATTGATAAAACAGCTGAACGTACAAGAAACATCCTGGAGTTTCTACAACAGATTGTCTCTTGCATCTATTGTGTCCCTGGTTTAGCTTTTCACAGTTCGGAGATGAGCTCTTAATAACTTAGGGTCAGCCAAACCCCCAAGAACCATGTTGCCATCCATATCTGGAGTTAGACACAATACTTCATTGACGCACGCATTTAGAATTGTCTATTTTTCCTGTAAGCAATGAGAACTGTTTACCAGGATCCCACCTTTTCTGGATTTGTGTAAAGAGTATAATTGCTGCATTGTTGTATTGTAAGTCAGAGCAGCCTAGCAGCTCATTGCGAGTGTTGAAGCTGGCTTCTGCTGATGAAACTGCAAACTATCTTTAGTAAACTTTCTTTATTTAATTGAATCTCTGACTCCGGCTTTTCTTCATCTGATAGACTGGTAATTATTTGGGTGAAACTGTATACCTATCCCTACAGTTGGTAAAGCGCAAACCCCACCCCCCAGAATGTCCCCCGAATCAAAAGTCAGACGACCAGCCCAGTTCAGCGGGAGGAAGAAAGTCAAATCAGAATCAGGCAGATAAAGCACACCAACACATCATGGTGATACAATCAAAATGGAGACAACCGAAGCAAACAAATTACATGTTACAGTACAGCATTACATTATTTATCTATACGCACAGGCCTTTGTATGTTCGTTCATTATGTTTATTTACTCACTGAACATATCAAATTTCCCTAGGATCTATGACAAGTAATTGCCCATTTATTTAAGAGAATAATTTAAGGATGTTGCATATTATTCGGTTATCTTAAGAAAACAGTTAAGTGTTTCAGGACATAAGAGTAAGTAATAAATTATAAGCTTGCCTATATTGTTGTGCTCAGCTGTTATCCACATCTGCAACAGTTTACAGAAAAAAAGAAAAAAGTATACTACATTTGATAAAAGCAGTGTTAAATATTTCAGAGTGGCACATCTCCACTGATTCTTCCCAAAGCAAAATTACGATTTAAAATAATAAATATCCTTCTAATAAAACTCTTCATTTAAAATTTCATTTTTAAATTTTACCATGTCATAAAACAAACACTTGTTGAGGACATGGAGCATTTTTTTTTTTCGTGAAGATTTCCCCAATCTGTAGATCAATGCTGTGCAGGACTTGATCTACCTTTACCACTGCACACACTTTGTAACATTTTACTCATCAAGTGTAAGAGTCTCTTTAACTCTAAGGTTTATTTTATTATAAAGAGATCAGATATTTTTGTTTTTGACTATTAAAACTATTTACCTTAGTCATGTTGGTAAATTAAAATAAAAGTGGTTAAAAAAAACTACTAATATTCCTTAATGGATTGTTAAAAAAATATTTAATAATTATCTACACTGAATGATATGAAGCATGATATCATGATTATATTTATGCATTAACAAGTGGTACTCACTGCAGAGCCACTTGGGCAGAGCTGAGCTCCAGCAAGGGGGAGCTTGAGCTCCAGCTCCTCCTTCCTTGCACTTCTTCTACAAGTGATGTCACGGGGGTTGGGGTTAGGTGGGTGAATGCATTAAAACACCTTATAGGAGGAGGAGTTTGAGCTCAAGCTCCCCCTCATTGGACCCTAAATGGCTCAATATTTATGCTAAGTATAATAATGATAATCATTAATTAAAGTGAATTTCCCTGTTTATCTGCAGTGTCTTGGCTTAAAATATGCATCTGAAGTTTCAATCAAAATAACCGACAGATAATTAATGTTCAATTTGCCCTGATTTGTGTGCGAGGAAAATGTTGTTTGCATGTCTGTACCTTTTTAAAGCAGAAGAGCTGATACAGTCTTCATATCCCACTTATCCAAGCCCCTGATTTGTTGAGAAATTGGTCTCTTTAAACAAATATTCCACTATTATCAAAAACCTCTTTTGCAATCAATAAAGAAATACTAGCATAGCAGGTTAAAGTGCACCATGAAGGTTTTCTAGAGGTTATTTTATATAAATATAAACCTCCACTATAGGTTTTCTTGCATCAAATATCACACACTTTGTTTGTGCCCATCCAATTTTAAAAGTCATTGACACTGGAAGCCTTTCTTCCATTCATTTTCCCAAGTCTTCATTTAGCATTTTCTATTGTGAGATTTCACGAATCTAAAATAGTATTTAATAGATTTAAATTACTTTAAGGTAGCTTCATATTTAATTTATGTAATTCAAAACTGAATTTATCATCATTACTTCAGTCATCAGTCACATGATTCTTCAGAAATCAGAAAACATGATGAATTGCTGCTTTATTATGATTCATTATTATTACAATTGCAAGTATTACTGCATTTATAGCTGATCATAACATTGTCGAGTTATAAAATGTCATAATTATTACCCCTTATAACTCTTTACTCTCAATTTAAACAAATCTACACAATGAATTCATATTTGAAAAATATCACGCTTATTTTTGTAATGTGATTATATAATGGAAATGTAAAAAGTATTGGATTGTTTTTATAGTTTACTTTTTAAATAATTAATATACTATGTTTGATTCGGGAATCAGCATCAAAGAAATTGGAAGATGTTAAAACGGATAATTCTCTATGGCCTTTTTCATCTTCATACATACCTACAGCCAATTTAGTTTATTCAATTCTATAGCGCATGCCTTTGGACTGTAAGGAAAACCGGAGCACCTGGAGAAAACTCATGCACACGAACAAGGGGAGAACATTCAAACTCCACACAGAACTGGCCCAGCCGGGACTCGAACCAGTGACCTTCTTGCTGTGTGGCTAACCACTGAGCCACCGTACCACAGATGGAATGATGATATTGATATTATTATTAGAGTTTACAAGAAAATACAGCTCCATGCTTAGACCCAACCAAAACTATAAACAACAACAGACTACCTGCAGTAATGGACACAAAAGTAGGTGACGGTGGGCACGGTTCAGTCAGTGACAGCTTCCTGTATTGTTTACTGTGGTATTTTAAATATTCAGATTAAAACTACATGCAAGTATGACTTCAAAACAACATTAGCACCATTTAATTGACTTGAGAACATTATTGTGCTTTAATAGTCAGTGGCTGCTAATATTATTTCACTATTTATAATTTGCAGTTTCTAAAATTATATTAAGCAGAAAGGCTGAATGTGCGAATATAAAACCAACTTAATCTCAATGGTATCATTTAATGTAAAAATCTTAAATAATATAGACTACTAATGAAGACTTGGGAAAATGACGCTTTGTTTAGACTTATTTGAGCTGATCTGACCGACAGCTAAACAACACACACTTAAACAACAGTAAAGTACAAGAGCCGTGTGCTAACGTAGACGACTTGTTTATAGGTTACAAGAAAATACAACTCCATGCTTAGACCCAACTAAAACTATAAACCACAACAGACGATCTGCATTAATGGACACAAATGTAGGTGACAGTGGGCACACAAGGTGAGCTCAGATGTAAACTATGTACTCTATTACATTTGATAATTAAATATAAACATCAACCATCTTTAACACTTACAGGTTGCGATTCGGAGGAGCAAGCTGGTCCAAATAAAGTGGGCACAGACCCTTCTTTGACTTTTAAGCGTTTCGCAAACCCCGCGTTGATCGCGCCGAGATTTGTGAAGCAGTCGTCAGTGAAATGACGGGAACAGAGCACAAGGTTGGGACTATAGCGCTTCGGTGTGCGTGTGAAAATGAAGTCTAACCACTGCTTTCTCGCGCTCTCCTCCTTTGGAAGTGTAAACTGCACTAACTTGCGTTCACAGCGCAGAACACAGCGCCTTCTCGACATGTCGATACAGGAAGCTAACAGAAACTCCTCCTTTGATGTCGTGCATAACGCTAACTTTTAAAGGGGTGGCCTAGAGTGTATGTTGTCGCTTCATTGTGTTTATGGGGTGCAAAATATTGTGCTCTGTTGCTTAATTGTTAACAGTGGCAAACAGAGTTCCCCATTGTTTACATTCTTGATGTCATTACGTGCTTGCTACAGCGCACAGCTAACGATAAAAACTAACGGCATTTAAGATACCAGTTTCAGCAAATACTTACAGGTTGTGGCTCACAATCGTCTTTTATCGTCGGGACCGCTCCTTCTTTGAGAAGAAGTTTGAGACCGAATCCAGCGGTGAATTGCGAGTAATTCTGGAAGCAGTTCTTTGTAAAATGCCTCGCACAGAGAGAGAGATCTTTCTTATAACTCTCTGGAACACAGTTAAAAATGAACTGTAACCACCTCTCTCTCTGTTCCCTGTTCCTTGGAAGACCAAATAATGAAAAAGCCCTACCTCTATGAAAATAGCAGCGTTTGGAAGGCATTGTACCTTTCTCTACTGCTAACTTTACATGGCTCTGTGACCACGCCCCTACGCGTTTCTAGGACGTACTGCATGGTTTATGACACAAGCCGAATGTTTTTTTTTTTTTTTTTTTTTTTTTTTTTTTTTTTTTTTTTGTGGGAGTAAATCCAAAGGGAAGGGGATGATTGCAAAAGAAATAGTTAGGAAATGACAGAAGTAGTGGGACGATGAAGTTAAAGGCAGGCATATGCATCTTATTCAAGTCAATAGGTTTGGTAATAGGAGGAATGTTTTTATGGACAAACAGAAACAATAGATAATGTAATTACAGAATGTGAGGCAATGAAAAACTCCAATTAATCCAAGTGCTAAGCATACATTGTATAAATAATGTCATTATTAATTTATTATTTAAAAGAAACAAATTTGACTTGCATAATTTATTCAGGTATAAACAGTATGTTTTTTTTCTTCTCCCCCTGGCAATCTCCTCAACCGTTATGCTCTACACCCTCCTATCCAGTAGGTGGCAGGATTGCACCATTTATGTCTGTCTGCTAACCGCCATTAACCCCAAAAGAAGATTTTTTTGTAGTTTCCCAAAATTTTGTTCGCTGTAGGTTTTGCCAAAGACTATACAGGAGTTGGACTATGAAACTGAAATGCCTGGTTTTACACCACAAGTTCATTAGTATGGTGTAGGGCCTCCTTTTGTGGCCAATACAGCATCAGTTTGTCTTGGGAATGACAGATACAAGCCCTGCACAGTGACCATAGGGATTTTGCGCCATTCTTCTTGCAGACTAGTGGCCAGATCACTACATGATGCTGGGGGTGGAAAATGTCTTCTGACTTACTCCCTCAAAACATCCCAAAAGTGGCTCAATAATATTTACATCTGGTGACTGTGCAGGCCATGTTCAACTTAATTTCAAACCTTTCCAAAAGTTTAACTTTAACAGCCGAGCCATGGATATTGAGCCTCTGGAGACCCTGACAAACAGTTTTGGTGGAAACAGGAGAGGTGCACACAGGGGTGGACTGGCCATCTGGCAGGCAGGGCAGTTTTCCGCTGGGCCGACATACTTTTTGGGCCGGGCTGATCATCTTCTTATGATATGATCGGCCCATAAAACACTAAGCAGACTGTGTTTTTCTGCCTAATTAATTCACAATGCTGTGATCTGTTACGCTCTGAAAGTAAGATTTTTTTTTGCAGACAGACCGGCCCATGTGACAATCTGCAGCCCATTGGTTCTTTTCTTTATTGATATTGGGCTGACACAATCACAAACTCCCATTTTGGGCTCTGTGTGAGCGTGCAACGTCGGTGTGTATATGTCAAAATAGTCGAGAGATGCCCGTTTCAGACAACAAGCACGTTTAGAGAGCTGGAGCAACGCGCATCTAGTTACCTATCTGTCTATAAATACTTTTTATTTTTACTTTTCATCTGCACCAAGGCCCGGGGCAACTTCCTCCCATGCTGTTTACTTAACTTGCAACTCTTTATTTTACAAATTATAAAGATCCTAAAGAACTGTATGCTTAAAGCTCTATGAGTGTCATTCATATATTTTAAGGTGCAATAGGTCAAAAGACAATCACATGAGATATCATGACATTTCGCTTTTGATCACCTATATAGTTACAATAATATTTATACAATAAGGTTATAATGATATTTATACATGACAAAATTAGTGTGCAACTTAAGCAAAACTAATACAATTTTTTTACATTTAGTTTTGTAGTTTGGGCCCAAAAAAATATGTGTTGCATTTTTTAATCGTTTAAAGTTAACTTGATCGACTATATACAATCATTAAGTTATACTGACGTTTCATTGAGGCAACCCGGTGGCGCAGTAGTTAGTGCTGTTGCCTCACAGCAAAAAGGTTGCTAGTTCAAGCTTCGGCTGGGTCAGCTGGCATTTCTGTGTGGAATTTGCATGTTCTCCCTGTGTTCGCGTGGGTTTTCTCTGAGTGCTCCGGTTTCCCCCACAGTCCAAAGACATGCGGTACAGGTGAATTGAGTAGGCTAAATTGTCCATAGTGAATGAGTGTTTGTGGATGTTTCCCAGAGATGGGTTGCAGCTGGAAGGGCATCTGCTGCGTAAAACATGTGCTGTGTAAGTTGGCGGTTCATTATATTTTCTTTTTAAATGTAAAAGAGTACAGTTCACACCTGAGCTCACCTGGCGAGTGGCGATGTAATAGTTTGTGTGCCCACCGTCACCTAAAATTGTGTCCATTAATGCAGATTTTCTGTTGTTGTTTTTAACTTTAGTTAGGTCTAAGCATGGAGCTGTATTTTCTTGAGAGGGAGAGAGAGTTTTAATTTTATTGCCATTTCAGCTTCTATGGCTATGTCATGACAAAAAAATAGATCAAGTTTACCACATTTTATAAATACCAATTTTCTATAATTACAAAAATATTCTAACAATTAAAAGTCATCAACAGCAATTAATATTATACAAGGTAAAATACATAAATAATAATTATAATGATAATATATAGGATAAAAATCTAAAACATTTTTTAAGGTTTCCTTATGATAAAAATTGTACAATTTTAGATGGATTCACATTAAAAAAAATATTTAATACTATTTAATATCCAGATAAAATTGTTGTCTGATAACATTACACATTGGGGCATTCCACAAGTATATACGTTTAACAGTTATGTTTCTGTTGCGATATTGACATTTTGTTGGTTCTTCTCCTTTAAGTAAATGTTCATGCATGAGTCTCGTGTGTCCATCTTGTATAAAAAATCTCATCATGTCTTGACTTAAAAAATAAATTTCCTATTTCTGGTTATATTTCAAAAAGTTTATCATTTAAGCACTGATCGCATTCTGTTTTCATTAGTTGAGAATACAGCCTTTTATTAGTGCCTTTGGATCCGAGGGTGGGATTTTACACTGCTTCAGCTTTCCTGCTAGGGCTGTTTTGGCAGCTTTGTCGGCTTGTTTATTTCCAAGTAATCCGGTATGTCCCGGGATCCAGCTGAAGACTTTATTATAAAACTTTCTCTGTAGTTCTTCCACTCTAATACAAATGTCGATAATAATGGGATGCTCCAGTTTAAAAAAATTCAATGTCTGTGACAAGATTTTGAGTAAGAAAAAATACTAAAATTGTGTCCTTCAGCATTTTAATGTGTTCTAGAGCTAAAAAGAGAGCCTTTGCTTCCGCTGTAATAATTGAGCTATGATCTGGCATGCAAATGCCAAGTGATTGACACATTACTATTGCTGCAACATGACTGAAACATGACTGTCCTTTTTTGATCCACCTATATTGGTTTACGAGTAGGATACAAATGTCTTATGTCAGCAACTGCTTGTTGACATGTACGTGGACAAGTATCAGCCTTCTTATGCTTGCTCAGATCCAGATTTGCATGCAATTTATTTAACCTCCATGGTGGGACCGGGCAAATGAGAGTCTAGTGGATGGAATCAAGACGTAGATTTAGGTTTATTATGTGTGTTCTGATCCATACACAGAATCTTTATTTTCTTGTATCCTATAAATAAGTCGTACGTTAGCACAGGGCTAACTCTTTAAAATTAATTACTTTAATACTATTAATTTTGTTTTAAACTCGCAAATAAAACACAATTACAGCAAAACAAAGGAATAATAGCATAGCCATTCAAAGTAATGATTATTATATATATTTTATTCATATTATATAGATATGAATAAAAGCCACTATTTTTGATGGTCCCTGGTTTGAATCTGCCGTAAAAAAATGCACTTAACTGCAGGAAACCGTGGCAGGTACCGTAACTACGCAAACAGCTGTGGCAGGTACCGTGGCGACCGCATACAGCCGTGGCAGGTACAGTGGCGGGCGCACTTAGCTGTAGCAGGTAACTTATTTGTGGCAGTTGCCCCTGACACGCAAAGATTTTACTCCCTCTCTTACAGTATACACATTACAACACACATCCCACATACACAACAAACTTTAGCTGTAGCCACTACTGGTACAGCTTTATTACAATGTTTCTATTTTTCTAGGGTTTTTGTTTCTAATGGCCCCTTCATGCACACTTACAGCTTCAAGTATGTAGACTGTCTTAGGAAAGCACAATAGCAGTAAACACGTGCAAACAAACATCCGAAGTAACTTTAGCCGCAGATGCTATTCATTTCGGCTTAACATTAGTAGAATGCTAACGTTAGAAGTACAGAAAATGTCATACTTACTCGAAGTAAGGTAGGATCGCGTCTTGTTGGAACAGATCCAGTTTTCAAAAACAATTTACTGGCGAATCCGGAGTTGAATTGTCCCGCGTTCTCAAAGCTGTCTGCACTAAAATGGTTAGCGCAAACATATAACAGTTTTGGTAGGTTTTCAGGCACCTTATCTTCAAAGATTATACTCAGCCACTTACGCCTCAGTCGCTCATTTGAAGGAAGACGGTGAAGGCTCTTGTGTTGAGCCTTACATTCAAAAAAAGCGCAAGGGTGTTCCTTCTGTGGCATCGCCTCGACTCACACGCAGAAAATGGCGGAAACGACAAACTCGGGATATGTTAATACACGCAGCTGTCCATCAATTCGGTGGGCGGGGGGACCGCACTCCTACGTGAAGTTGCAGTCGGTCTGAAACAGCTCCTGTTTTGTTGTTAAATTGAAAAAAAAGGACTGAGTGTGTTCATTTCAGCCCAATATGACGGTCTATAAACCATACCAACACACATCTGTCCAAGCAGCTTGAAAAGTAGATATTTCACCATAGGTGCCCTTTAATATTAAGCAATACTGGAAAAGAATTACTGTTTATCCTGTATTCTAGGCAGTATTGATAAACTGCCACAAAAAAATATTAACACAAGTTATAAGAATGCCGTCTCACGGTTGCTGAATGTCATACGACAACGTTGCTACAGCCTTCTTACGTCTTACATTCGGCTCGTTTGAGGTGCGCCTCGCCTTGACTGCATTGTAAACGAGAGCAGGCGTCTGCAGTAAGAGAAGGGCTCAAAAATTACATCAGAAGTCGGACACTTGCCGAATCTCGCTGTTTTGCCACCTGGAAACGTCACCAGTGGCGGAGATCTCGTTCGCGTTTTTTATCGAAAAATAAAAAATGAAAAAATACTATGGTGATTTATAGAAAATATTATAGCATTAAATATTATTATATATTAAATATTATAGCATTTTTGAAAAATTTTTATTCAGTATTGGATTATTTTTATAGTTGTCGTGATACCAGAGCAACTATAACATTTAAATAGGCTATTATATAATATGGTTCAAAAGCACTACAGTATACGTTACTATAGTATTTTTTAATGTGGGAGTGGATGCAATTGAAATATCACTGTTTTTACAAAAAGATGGACAGAATTACAGAAGATGAACAGCTCATTAAAAGGATGTATTTAAAATATAATTCTGTATATTCATCAAACGTTAAAAGAATAACAAAATAAACAGCATATACAGCAGGAAAATTTTCAAGAAACCTAATTTGGCTGCATTGTAAATGAAGTATAGCAAGATGCTTTTGAGTGAAGAAATTTGAAGAACTTCTTAGGGGGTTCATTATATTGACATGCTTATTAGGTCTATATGAAATGCTTTTTCTCCAGCCAGACTAAAATAAATAGCCCGAAACTTTATCCAGAATAAAAACTATTAGACTGTAGGAAATACTGTGAAAATGTTCTTGGTCTATTAAACATGACTTTTGACTTCACATATGTGTGTGTTTGTGTGTTGTTTACTACACCCCTTCCACTACTCATATGAAACCACACAAAGATGAGGCATAATGACAAAACGGTCTGATTACCTTTGTATGTATGTGTATGTGTATGTATTGGATTGACTGTCATGGAATAACGCTGCATAAAATTTACAATACAAAATTCACACAAACATACAAAAAGTGAAAATGACAACAAACAGGACTTCAAACTGAGAGAGAAATAAAACACAGCACATGCACATCCTGATGATTTACTAGTAACATTTAGTTAAATTGGATAGGTCACGTTATGTTTTACAAAGATGTGTTTTGTTTGTGTGTAAATCTTAATAAAAAACCATATGTAATGTTCTTTATGACTTTTTTTTAATTATCAGCGAAAACACAAAAAGGTATTCAACAAATCCAGGTTTAAACCTTATTAAACAAGATAGAGAATAAAGTGTAATGTGTCAGTCTCATCCAATCAGCATTCAGCTGTGTCGTCAGCTAGTCGTTTTCCATCATGCTTTTGATAACGCAGTCTTTGGAGAGCAACTGCTGCCGACTGATCAATCCGAGGTCCCCAATAATATCCAGCTGCAGGCCCGCAGACCCACACATTTTAGGCACACACAATTTAGGCAAACCATATATGGTTACGACGGGTGTTAATGTTATTAATGTCTTTTTGGACATCGTCATCGATATATTTTGATATATATGGCTATAAATATTGTACACAATAAACAATAGTGTTTACTTTATTTCACAAATATTGCGATCGAGGCGGGCGAATAGGGAGCGTTTCAAGCGCCATTCAATATACTAGACCGAACAGTTTTCTCTCATTCATAATAGAGAATCAGTCATTATTATCTGACAGAGTCAATATAGCAGATACTCGTTTGCTGGCCTTGCTGAAAGATCTAAATTGGACAGGTTTAATATAATGGATTCATTTATAAAGAAGGAAATAGCAAGTTAATATAGGCAATAATACATTTTATATGTAAAAAATCTTCATTCATTCATTCATTCATTATCTTTTCGGCTTAGTCCCTTTATAAATTCGGGGTCGCCACAGCGCCACATCCAGCAAGTTTTTACGCAGAAGATGCCCTTCTAGCCGCAACCCATCTATGGGAAACATCCACACACACTCATACACTACGGACAATTCAGCTTACCCAATTCACCTGTACCGCATGTCTTTGGATTGTGGGGAAACCGAAGTACCTGGAGGAAACCCATGCAAACGCAGGGAGAACATGCAAACTCCACACAGAATCGCCAACTGAGCCGAGGCTCGAACCAGCGACTCAGCGACCTTCTTGCTGTGAGGCGACAGCACTACCTACTGCACCACTGCTTGGCCTGTAATAAAAATCTTTTTACATGTAATAAATGTATAACACTATATTCATATTTTACTCAAGCGATTAAATCATGTGTATTTGCTTAATTTTCTAATAACTTTTTAATTAATGATTTCCCACATTTAATACTGTATAAAGTAAGCAATATATTGTTTTAAAACCAATATTTAGTAATAGAAAGAAATGAATAAATAATAAAAAAGATAATCAGTTAAAATAATCAGTTTATAACTATATTATATATTGTTTAAATGATTAACTAGTAATTCATTTTAATGTGACACATTGTTTGCTTTTTATATTTTACAACAAAGTGGTTTTAATCAAGTATGATATTAAGGTGCTGAATTAGTTTATTACACTTAATCCTACAATTAGACGGTCTATTATGTGTTCTTTGTGTATGTGGACACATAAAGTCATAAGTGTCTTTAGCCAATCATTTTTATTTACATAATTTGAGTTCAGAAACTGCAGAGATGTTAAAATGATCGTTACGATATAATAATAATGACTGAAATGGGAAACCATATTTGTGAAATTCAATAGTTGGCGATAATGCTAAGGAATTAGTTAAATACCATATATGGTTTGCCTAAATCGTGTGTGCCTGAAACGTGTGTGGTTCTGTGGTTCTGATCTCGAGGTACCCGCCTCGCGATCGCAAGAGTTTTTTTGGTGCACGTCAGCGTGACACCAGAGCGAGGCGAAGCAGCATGCATCCTGCGGTGATCACCGGTGACAAAGAGCTTAGAATGACCAAGAGGCAACACTCTATAGAACCTTCTATTGCAACAGCAGGGCCTAGCAACAGCCCTAGATTCCGCCATTTTGGAGGGTTAGGTGATCGGTAAGGCCAGACGGAATCTGCAGAAGTTTTTTGCTATTTCTGCGGAGAATTTTTGTAAAAATCTGCTGATTTCTGTGGAATTATTTTGGGAGTATCCAGCTGAGTATCATAACTAAAACCTTAATATAATAAATAAAAAGTAATAAATTACAGATTAAAAACTGAATAAATTCAGATCTACACATTTACTCAAGTAAATAAACAGAATTAATAATGGGCTAAAAATCAGCAGAAATCTGCGGAATTCTGCGGAAAATCTGTGGAAAATCTGTGGAATTCTGCGCGCGCAGATTCCGTGTGGGCCTAGCGATTGGCCATCAATCTCATTACTGTCGTGATGGCAAGCAGCGGCTTTGTTTTTTATTAATTTATTTAAAAAGCAAATAAAAGCTGAAATACAACCTGAAAGACGACAATACGACACTTGTTATTATAATCATCAACACTTTTAATAGTTTATTTTACAGACTTATAATATGCTGTTGTTCAATTGGAGTTTTCATTCCAAAATGGCCCTCTAGTGGCTGTTTCTCAAATTACACTATAGTGTCGCCACTTGGTCATTCTAAGCTTTTTGTCACCTGTGATCTGTTCTGTGCATATTTTGGCCATCTCAAATTTACTTTAATATAATTAATTCCTAAACAGCTGTAAAGTCAGTTCTTGTCAATTTAAATCTGCTAATTTAGCTTTCTTACCAATTACAGTTTCGTGAATTATAAATTCATTCTTTAATATTTACTATTATTATTGTTGTTAAATAATTATGTTTATTATAATTATTATTATTATTATTATTATTATTATTATTATTATTATTATTATTATTATTATTATTGTTATTAAATATTTAATACTATTTATATGTTGAGTTGAGATTGATCGTTGTTTACTCACGTGATTTAGAGTGGTTGCTATAGCAACGCGTGTTATGATTTGACTCCATATATAAACACCGAGACTCGCCGCTATCTGTTGATTGAGGAGAGGCGAATTTCTGAGACATTTGCTGAGGATTACTGTGCTGATACTGCGATTCTTCAAGGAGACCAGAGAATTTCTGACAGAAGACTTTTATTTTACAAGGAGATCGACGCTCAGAGCTGAAATTATTCCTTTTGACACGTTTTGTTGCTCTTTTGTTGTGTTTATTTTGATTTTGATCTTGTTTTTATTGACATTTTTATTGATATTTGATCTTTGTTCTTGTTTTCAGGTTTGCTGGAGTTTGGAGGAGTTTGTCAGATGGGTGAAAACCGCAGTGAGTGTTTTAGCTTTTATTTGTTTATGATCAATCATGATATGATGTTGTGTAATATTTGGGGAAATGTGATGTAAATAAACTGGTACAAATGAACCCATTTCAACACAACTGTTCCCCGATATAAGTGATCAGATGTCTTTTATTCTCTGTAGATGCAGCTACTAAAGTTAATTGTTGATTAATTCTTATAATCTTATAATAAACGTGATATGTTGTTGTTGTTGTTGTTGTCGTTGTCTCAGGCCGCTCCAGATCCAGGAGTTGTGCTTTCATCCAGGCAGCTGTTCAGGACGTCAGGACACATGATGGTGATGGTGAAACCCAGACCGTGAGCCAAGAGCTTGATGGATTTCTCGCACCTCTGCCTACCCTGTTGGCCAAATCTGTGTCCACAGATCAGGGTAGCAGGAAGAGGAAGCGGCAGAGCGGCAGCCAGCAAACACCAGAAGATGAACGTCCGTCCACCTCATCTAGAAGAGCTCTCAAACGCTCTCGCAGAGGTCAGAATGAATTATTGAAGAAGTGATGATGATGTTTCAGTAATGCTCTTTTACAGTTTTCTCTACTGCTGCATGTTTTCTTTGAACACACATTTCTACTGCTCCTCTGTGTTGCAGACGCGTATGCAAAGGGCCCACTGCTGGGAGACGGTGGATTTGGCTCTGTGTTTGCTGGGATGCGCAGGTCTGATGGACTGCCAGTAAGTCGTTTTCTCCGCTCTTCATTCAAACAGCCTTTAGAAATCCTGATCTCAGTAAATGTGATGTGTGAGGATCAGGCAGGTGTGATTTATTATGCTTTATCTGTCTACAGGTCGCCATCAAGTATGTGTCTAAAGAGCGGACACAGAGGAGACTGAGAGTTGTGAGTTCAGTGTGAACCTGTTGTTGTGTTTGATGTTTCATTGGGTTCTGAATCCAATCGTTTGTCCTGCAGGAAGGTCAGGGTCGGCTGCCGCTGGAGGTGGCACTGATGACCCGCGTCAATTCAGCTCCTGCCTGCCCCAACGTCCTGCAGCTGCTAGACTGGTTTGACCGTCCCAGACGCTACATCCTGATCCTGGAGCGTCCGGATCCCTGCCAAGACCTCCAGAGCTTCTGTGAGGAGAACGGCTGTCTGGATGAGGGTCTGGCCAAGAAAGTGCTGGTGCAGCTGATCGCGGCTCTGAAACACTGCGAGAGCCGCGGAGTCCTGCACCGGGACGTCAAGCCAGAGAACCTGCTGATCTCCACAGAGTCCCAGGACATCAAGCTGCTGGACTTCGGCTGTGGAGATCTGCTCAAGCGCTCGGCCTACAAATACTTCGCAGGTGGGTTTGTGTTGCAGAAGGAAACACTCTGTGGATGTTTGTGGGCTTTTGATGATCCACCAAAGGGAATTTGTGTGTGCTGGAGTGTTTTGAACGGGTGTTTGTGTCTCCTTGTGTCTCTCAGGAACTATTCAATACGCTCCACCTGAGTGGTTCTGCAGACAGCGCTACCATGCGGGTCCAGCTACGGTGTGGTCAGTAGGAGTGACCCTCTTCAACATCCTGTGCAACCGTTTCCCCTTCGGAGGTGCACTGAGGGTCACGTCCAGAAGCAAACTGACCTTCCCCATAACTCTGTCAACAGGTAAGAGACTCACTGAGAGATCAGCAGAAGTGTGTTGCTCTGTGTTTCTGAACACGGTGTTGTGTGTATCAGAGTGCCGTCAGCTGATTGGCTGGTGTCTCAGTCCAGCGGCGGCTGATCGGCCCAGTTTGGACGATATTGAGCGCCATCCCTGGTTACAGTGAACAGGTGGCCAGTGACTTGACACTTATCTGAGTGACGCACTCATGGCTTTGATTGTGTTGTTAGGGTCAGTCTGGATTAATGATCTTAATGATTTGTGTAGGGTGAGCAGGAGTCACACAGGAAGTGCAGAGAACTGCTTCCTGATCACCTGCAGAATGAGGAGTGGGCATAAACTAATGGCCGACTCCCCCAGGGCCAGCGCCCCCTCACCTGCACTAAGCCACCGCTTCAGATGACTTTAATGTTAATAGGGATTTTAATAATAAACGTATTGTTTAGGCAAATAATCCAGGTGTAGTGTCTTCCTAGAGTGACTGGAGAGAGCTCAAATAAAGGGAGAGTTCACACAGAAATCCAGATTTACTCACTGTTTACTCAAACTCAAGCGGTTTCAAATCTTTAAGAGTTTCTTGTTTTCTGTTTTGCACAAAATAAAATGTTTTGAAGAAGCTGAAAACCTGTAACCGTTGACTTTCATAGTAGCAAAAACAAACAAGTCAATGGGTACAGCTTTTCAGCTTTCTTCAAAATATCTTCTTTTGTATTGAACAGAATAAAGAAACTCAAACAGGTTTGGAGCAAGTGAAAGGGAGTTAATGATACAGAATTGTTATTTTTGGGTGAACTATCCATTTAAGAGGACCAATGGAGGTTTCATCTTTTGAAATGGAGATTTCATCTCTGCTGACTGAAGTTAAAGGTGTGATGAAATATTGTTCAGGTTGTTAAATGATTTTTTAGGGTATATATAGGGTATTTTGGTGGAGTTGTTGTGGTAATTTGCCCACAGTAGCAGTAAAACCTCTGAAATGGTGTACACATCTGATGATCTAAGACCTAGTTTTTTGTTTTTTTAATATTAGGAATGTTCAGAGCTCTGTTAGATGTACATTTGCATTCTACATTTCTGTTGTTGTAGCAGGGAGATGTTTGTTTTGTGGCATGAAAAGAGTTTAAGAACTTCAGTTTTAGCTGGGAGTACTACTGCATATGCACTCATGTGATTGGCTTAAATTATATTAAACTGAGAGACCCAGAAACAACACTGAGTCCTTTCTGAGACTGCAAGTCAAATATTCTGAAAAAACATTTAACCTTTCTTAAATGTATTTACATTTTTAATCATTAAAAACTTACAATATTAGAATCAATGAAAATAGGATGCAGATGCCAGAACATTGTCATTAACACTCTTTTGAATCATATTTCTACTAAAGAACAATGACTTTAGTTTACTCTACTTTACATTCTGCTGGTTCTGACATTAGAATAAATACTGAAGTCTGAACTCTGAGCTCTTTCATTCCTCTGCCTTTGTTGCTGTGTGGAAGGCATGTCTAATGAAGCATAACACACTTCATCACCAGCCTGAAACAGAATATATTTAATTAAATTAATAAACAAATAAATAACATTATATTATATTATATTATATTAATAAAATTTATGTTGCTGCCAATCAAGTGTGAATAAAATATATTTACAAATAATTTTCAAAATGTGCTCATACCTCAACATGTCTGTTCTTAGCTCCAGAACCTACAGAAACTTAACAAAAGATAAGAATAATTTACATTTGCTTCATTATATAATACTCTAAGTTTATGAAAGACCGTCTAGTTAGGGATTAAATGTTCAGGATCAAATGATGACCTGTATTTTTCTTCTGACAGAGGCAGTAGACGCAGATGGAGAAGAGGAGAACACACACCGAACACACACTGAACAGCAGATTCCAGCAGAAAACACACTCTGATGCAGGTGATGTGGAGGTGCTGTTAAACCGTTCAGCACAAGGAGACTCTTGCTCTAAAATGAACAACAGGCCATTATTAAAGTGAATATATATTTAGTTATTATATTCATTTTATTTTATCTTTACTGATTACACACAATAATGAAAAATATGAGTTTAACACTGATGAATTTGCTAAAAGTGGTTAGAAAATCAGAAGTTAAAGATTCTAATATTAAATACACTATAAATCATCGTTTTACAAAATATTTTTAATTTGTTGTTAATTTAATCTAAAATATTTTTAGAAATTAAGATACACTTAAACTAATTATAGACTTATTTTACTAACATAAATTTTAAATTTACATTATTTATGTATTTATAGTTGGACTATGGCTGCAGGATTTATTTGCATGACTGCATTAGTTATCTTGAAATTTCATTCAAATAATATTAAAATGATAAAGCTTTAGGTAAATGTAGACTTTATCAAAGCACAGCTATATTATGATGAGATAAACTATAATTTACACTATTATTATAATAAAAAATAGAGTATAAAATAGTTACCATCAAAACATTTGCTATAAATATCTCTAGTATTTGCGTCAGAACCTTAAACACACACAATAAATGTCTAAAAATGTAATTATTGTCAAAATCCTTAAAAATAAATGCTAAAATATGCTCTTAAACACACACCTAGGCCATACATAAAAAAAAATATGCTATTCACACCCTGTTGCATTAAAATGCATTTAACAGTATAACATCTGCACTAAATAAATATAAAACATTGCTGCATGAGTCTACTGAAACAATTGATCACTTCAGTACTAGACAAAATATCAGTATATAACAAAAGCAGGACGCCAGAATTCACAATAATTGAATAAGAGTTGGCCAAATGTACACACATTACTTACAGCATTCTGAAATGTTTATAAGAGGATGACTTTACATGCAGTTTTACCTGTTCATGATGTCATATATCAATATAATAAATATCAGTATTTGTTAAAAAGATATACGTTCATGACAAAACAGTTGTATAAGATATTATTATATCCCTCTGACAAGATATTATTACAGCATACCATAGATTTAGACGATGTATACAGACCTCTTCCTACATTTTTTAATCAAATTTGTCACCTGGTTTGACTGTCCGAGCTGTTTGACCTTACAACTTTTATGACAATTTATCTCAGCAAAGTATAAATAATTAATAGATTCACAATTTAAGTGAAAATAATTATCATTTTTAGTGGATACAGAAGGTGCTGATGATTTTAAAGCAAGTTCTGGCCAGTTTTGTCCATAAACTGATCATCGTATGGTGTGATATTTTGAATAGGCAAGTCTCGCACAATTCCTTCCTGTTGTTTGCACATGTACTCAGATAGCCAAGATTGCAAGAGTGTGCACAGAGTGTTTTCATGACGCAACATGTTGGAGGCACAGAATGTTTACAATGCCATTGAACCAAACAAAACTCTCATATTTTGCTGATTATTGCTGATAAAATGATGAATTATTGTCATGATTTGGGCCGGAATAGTCAATCAGACAAAACATTTGAGTATTAATGACAAAAAGTACAAAGTTATAACAAATCAAGCAGAAGAGAGAGAGAGAGAAAAAAGGTTTTTGTGGTTGACCTGCAAAAAGCCAGCACGGGTCCTGCAAAAGCTTGTTTGCTGGAGGATTTCCAATACTAGAATCTTGACAATATTCATGTTTGTTCTTATCATTTCCAGTCAGACAAGTGAAATATTAGATTAATATCTTATTTAGTACTAGTCCATATCTTTTATTACATATTAAATTTGGTTTGTCACAGTTTCATGTTTTCAAAATATTGTGCATCAGTTTGAGCTGGAACATTTGTGTTTACGTCCCTTTATTGTCTTCATTTTTATGAGCAAAATCCCATCAGTTTAATTCAAGTATTGTACATGACAGAAGAACACTCAAAAATGAATCACAAAGTTTTTCATAACTGTTTTTTTTACATTTCATAAAGGCCTGTCTGATTTTTCTGAGCTCTTATCAAGAACTGGTCCTGGGTTGTGGATCAGTGGTTTGACCTCTTTCTAGCCACTAGATGAAACCATTGAGTGTTCATTGTACCTTGTTTTTTAGCTTTATTTGCACAAACTTTAATAACTATAAAACATTTTTGTATAAGTATTTGAAAAAAAGTGATTATTCATCAGAAAACATTTACACAAAAATTATTTTCAGAAAAAAAACATGCACAACCTTGTGTTTTTACAAATCTTTAAGTCATCTTAACAATATTGCTCTTAATGAGAAACCTGTCTTAAAACAAGTTTGAACACATTAATATTGTGAAATAAAATGTAAATATGTAAATTGTTTGATGATGTGCTGTAAATAAAAGCATGTCCACTCAAACTCTATTAGAAATAAGACAGAAAGTAGACTAAGAGCAGTTCATGTGTCAGATGTTGGTGTAGGGATGTTTAGATGTCAGTCGTCTATAAGAGACTTCAGTGTGGACGCAGATCTTTCCAATCTTACTCGCCTCACACTGATGTTTCTCCACACAATCTGCCTGAAATGATTGACAAGGAGAGAATGGATCAAATAAACTAGTGAAAAACCCCATCAGTCCACAATTCATCTTTGATATGGTCAATAATAAAAGAGTATAAAATAGTTACCATCAAAACATTTGCTTTAAGAATCTCAGCACTCATGTCAGAACCTAAAACACACACAAAATGAACCTGATTAATATACTGTAGTAATTTATAGTAAATACTGTAGTGTTTTTGAAGTATACTATAGTAAAGGACTTGAATTAATCTGTTGTGGTAATTCTATAGTTTCTGTGGTAAAGCAACAACTATAGTAATGTAAAAAAACAATACTGTACTTAATACCACTTTACACCACAGTTTACTATAGTAAAAACTAAAGTATACTACAGTATTTGTCTCAGTTGATCAGTTCAGTAGTTAATACTATGTTCTGCTGCTGCATTCATTAACAGTTTAGTAAATACTATAATATACAGTACAGTATAATACAATTTACTGTAGAATGGGTCAAAAACACTCCAGTATTTACTATAAATTACTGTATTTTCTCATGTGGAAAAGTCTAATAATTACGATTAGGGTCAAAATGTTAAAATCTAAAAGAACAAATCTTTAAAAAAGCTCAACAGATTCACAGATTTGTTCAAAATGAATGTAAATGTGTCGATGAGCTCTACCTGTAGTTTGAGGACGACAGAAGCAGTAAACACAGATGGAGGACAGGAGTGAGGAGAGGAGAACACACACCGGACACACACTCAACAGCAGCGTCCAGCAGAAAACACACTCTGACACTGGAGAAGTGGAGGCGATGGTGGACTCATGTGCAGAAACTGCTGATAAATTTAAGATATAAGACTGAACATCAATATACTGTATAAGAATAAACACACACAGGTACACACACATTTAATACAATAAACAAACAACAACAAACAAACAAATCAATTAATTAATTTGGTTTTACAGCAGCAGCAGGATATATGAAGATTTTATTTGGAAAAACTGTTTCAATTTAGTCCCTTTATTAATCAGGAGTCGCCACAGCAGAATGGACCACCAACTTATCCAGCATATGTTTTATGCAGCAGATGCCCTTCCAGCTACAACCCATCACTGGGAAACATCCATACACACTTAATCACACACACACACTACGGACAATTTAGTCTACCCAATTCACCTGTACTGCATGTCTTTGGACTGTGGGGGAAACTGGAGCATCCAGAGGAAATCCATGCGATCACGAGGAGAACATGCAAACTCCACACAGAAATGTCAGCTGACCCAGCCGAGGCTCGAACCAGCGACCTTCTTGTTTTTAGGCGATTGTGCTACTCACTGCGCCACCGTGACACCCCGTAATGCAAATCAATGATATAAAATTGAAGCATACAGAAATGTCTAAAATGTGTTATTTTGTAAATTAGTGACAAAACTAAAAATAAATTAGAAGATTAAATCATTCTTTATTTCTAAAAAACAATAAGGGGGAACACTGTTTGGAGTATAAAATTAATCAGTATATAATAAATAATAATGCAATAATGTTTTCTTACCAGCAAGAGAGAGACGAGTTGTTCGGTTTCCATATTGGTAAAACGCAGATCCAGAGATGAAGCCTTTTTCATCCTGATTTACCTTATTCTCTGTTTTTACACAGTAGTACAGCCCCAGATCAGAGACACTGATGTTAGTAATGTGTAGATCATAGGAATTAATGGTAGGGTTGTGGATTAAGCTGAAACGCTTAACTGTATCAAATATCTTAAAATCTATTACTAAAGAGGGCTGGTTTTCATGAGAGCAGTTTCTTATCCAAAAAATGAGGGAACCAGTAGGTGAAGTAGGTAAAGAGAGATCACAGTAGAGAGTGATGTTTTCTCCTGGTCTGACTTTCATCTCCACTTCTTCTCCAGTGATTCTTCTCAGACTGCACAACAAAACACCTGTAGAATAAGAAAGTAACAGTGCAAAGTAACTATAAAACACTTAACGATACTATACATATTATTAACGTTGATCTTTGACTCTGATTCAAATTTTTTAAAAGCATTTGTAAATAGTTTTTTCTTTTGTTTCTTACACATGAGCAGGATGAGAATAAGTCGTGGCGTCTCCATGTCAGTGAATGAATGTGAGTAACTGACACTGGTGAGGGTCTTAATGCACACAAACAACTCTTATCTGATTGGTTCACGTCAATGGAAAGTTTTACCTAAATGCCCATCCGTCATGAGGGGTTGGCTTTCCAGTGGGTTATTATGTGTGTGTATACAATACAGAGGAAGGAGCGTGTAAACCAATCACTGTTCCCCTAAAACTTTTTTGCTGTGACATCATGTGATTTGTGGCATGTGATTGGTTCTCAAATAGAGAAATCATCAAATCATCATCAAACATACGCTGTAGAGGTCAAATGTAATCTTTTAGTTTAGTTTAGTTGAAAGTTTATTTCACTCACAAAATTGTGTGATTTACATTTCAATCGGGGGCCCTAGCCACAAAAAATACAATAATTGCACAGAGAATTTACATTGTTGCAATCACTTTCATGGGAATTCCATACAATGACAGGCAATTTACATAATCCAACAACATAACCGGTGTGGATGCTAATACAGCATAGTTACTGTTAGTGTTATCTTCATAGCTATCATTCTTGGTCATGATGACACTCAATTCAGCAACACGCCAACATGTCAAAACAGGAAATCACCACCAGACCTCTGTCAGCAAACACCTTTGCTACAGATACTTCACAGCTCAAAGTTTATCATCGGTCAAAAATGTTTCCTGTAGTCGTTGTGTGGTTTCTTATGTTCGTTTCGGTGCACACATCTGCACAGGAAGCTGCTTAAACAACTGTGTTACTTTTATTTGGCAAAATTACAAAATATAGATTCACAAACACATTCCTGAAAAGGTTTCGGAACGGTGTGGGAAGATCAAGTCTGAAGCTGTGATTACACTGCACTTTTCTCCTCATAGACTTCCATTTATACACATGCAAATGCAGCAGGCAGGAATTGCAAGCTCACGCGACAAGTTTTGCAAGTTGCTGAATTCCAAAGCTCAAACTTGATGAACTCTGTCCAGCAAAATCGCAACAGAACAGAAGATCAAAACATGGCCTCTCTGAACAGAAATTTTAAATTTGGGGCAATAGTGGGGGAAACTGGAGCACCCGCAGGAAACCGACACAGACACGAGAGAAGATGCAAAGTCAGAAAGGCCTCCTGGTCCAGCCGGAATCAAACTTGTGACCATAATTCTATAAGTTGACAGTAAAAACAACTGAGCCACCATACAGCCTCTAGTCTGGACTATCATCTATGACAAAATGACACAGCTGCTTCTTTTAACTCACCAGATGAATCAATTTGAGTCAAACAGTTCTCTGACGTGTAGCTTGAGTTAAAAGTAGAAGTGTTATTATTTTACCACCTCTTTGGGAGGGGGACTTTAAGTTAAGTTTATTTCAGATAATTAACCACTAGACGACAAATGGGCTTTTTTCTATTTCCTTTTTTTTGTAACAAGTTTCACAGATACTGCATGCATGAAAAGCAATTTCACCACAACATAAGCATTTGCACACAAACTAACCACTGTCCTGTTTGTGCATCATTATGTCTGCTCACAAGCAAGGCTGAGTGGAAACATTTGTGGTTTAGATGTAATCTTGTAACTGAGAACAAGACCAGATCTTCAGAAAAAAAGGAGACGAGACACTTGAGTAAAACTTTTATAATGGGTAAAATTCTGCTTTTGATATATTTGATTAAAATTAGATTTTATTCCAATTTCACATGATAAAAACTCACTAGCCCACCTATCAGGCCCAGAGAGCTTACATCTCTCATTCAGCTTAGACATTTCAGGCTCAATCTAAAATTGAGTCACATGAACACTATGATCATTTAGAGAATGAAGAGAAAATGGTAAAATAAGCAGCATTTCACCATCACTGTGGATCCACTAGGAATACACCTTTAATACAGCCAAAAATACATTAAAAACACTGAAGACGAAAGTATTTAGTTTTCATTCATTTATTATCCTTCGGTTTAGTCCCTAATTTATGAGGGGTTGCCACAGCAGAGTGAACCGCCAATTATTCCGGCATATGTTTTTACATAGCGGATGCTCTTTCAGCCGCAACCTAGCACTGTACTGGAAAACACCCATACACTCTTCGGGTAAATTTTTGATCTGCCACTCCTAGAAGGCCACTTATGGAAGGTTCTCGACTGATCCATTTGTAGGAATTAACCCTTACTGTGGTTTACTTCAGCTGATTTATTGAATTTAAACCGGTGTGGCAGTAATCAGGCCTGGGTGTAGCTACAGAAATTGAACTCAACACAGTTGCAATCAATATCAGAAGAATGATAAACACTGACGGCCATCTTGCAATCTAATAAATCCAATACTACTTTAAAGCTTTCAAGTGTTTACATGTGTATAGTGAAAGAACATTGTTAGCTAGTATGTATGATAATATAGCTAGTTATCTTATCAACACAGTTATCTCTATAGTTAGATCTTTGTGTGATCAAGATTTAATTCAGTAACAGGAAATTACAACTCAAAGAGAACACTGCTATCAAGCACTGCTAAAAAAAGCACAAATGTTTCCATTAGCATTAGAAGGGTTTTATTTGTTGGTAAAAGTGCACATATTTGAATAAAGAAAACTTGCTTAAATAACTTGATAATGGTCTATAGCAGGGGTCCCCAAACTTGGTCCTGGAGGGCCGGTGTCCTGCAGAGTTCAGCTCCAAATTGCCAGAAACTTTGAGTGTTGATAATAAAAACAAAGAGATAAAACAGAGTAGAGAGAGTGTCCATCATTATCATGTGTGTGTCATACTGTGTGTGTGTGTGTGTGTGTGTGTGTGTGTGTGTCATGTGTCATACTGTCTTTAAATTGTTATATTAAGAGTCAAGGATGACTAGATTTTCTAAGTAAAACTGTCAGTATGTGCACGTTTACTTCATGTATTAAATGAACTGAATGGAAAGAGTTCAATATTATTATTCATTTGCTTGTAATATTTAAATGTTTTCTAATCTTTGTAAATTGTAAAAGAAAAGTACTGACTTGGTTGGCATGACCGAGAACGCCCACAAAAACAACTAAACTCTGTGCAATAACAAGCTTTGGGTGAATACAAAACTCTTTTGCTGGTTTGTGGTTTGACCATTCTTAGACAACTGGTAAAATTTCAACTCACAAGCCTTGCTGTTTCAGAGATACTTTGACCCAGTCACATTTCCATCAACATTTGGAACTGGAATTAAAAATCGCTCAGATCGACTATCATAACTGATTGAGTACCATCTACTCTCTCTCTCTCTCTCTCTCTCTCTCTCTCTCTCTCTCTCTGTGCGTGTGCGCATGTGCCTGAGCGAGTGTGTGGTGAGCGAGTGTTGGGAAAGTGCGGTGAGTTTGAATGGTTCTCTTTCTAACTTTTCTTTCTTTGTTTGTTGTTTGTATACGTGTGCTGTTGGTTAGTGTTTGTGAGTGTAGTGAGTTTACTCCCGGCGTGTTTTGTTGCCGGGAGGTATGGCGTCGTCAGGAGACGCAGTTTGTGAAAGTTTGACTCGGCGTCATGGAATTAAAATCATGTGTAAGGCCAGTGTGGAAGATTGTATTCTAGCGGTTGGCGAAGTAGTGGGATGTTCATCGGTGGTTTCAGCTTCTAGGATGAACAATGCGGTTGTTTTGTTTTTGAACACGATAGAAAAAACTAATGAGATTGTGCAAAAAGGAGTGGTGATAAATGATGAACTCATACCTGTACTTCCTCTTAGTAGTCCATCCAGGAAAATTATTGTGTCA